TGCCAAGAAGCATCTTTTCCCTTCTAGACAGAGGGAGCAACCCAAGTCTTGTTGCCCATTTCCATTTGAAATAATGTGTGATGTAGCCTGGGCCTGTTGCTTTCACTCATTTATGGAAATCAGCATTTCTACACCAGGCAAGTGAGATGGAGGAATCAATATGCCCACCTTTATGAAAGAACAATGCAATGAGTGATAAGCAGCTCGAGTTCATAAAGAACAGATCGCACCAGGCAGACCCAATAGCCTCCTTTGACAAAATTACTGATTTGGCTGACAAAAAGAATTCAATCTAGCTAGATACAGAAAAGCTTTAGGCAGAGTTTCTCGCAAAACAACTTTTCTAATCAATGGGCTGTGGAGTTTTCCTTACAAAATATTGTGGAGATAAATGTGAATATATTACAAAAGGTGGCACAATGTTAGAAACTCCTGTAAGAAACACTTGTAAGAAAACTCCTGGCCTTGAGAATATTGCTATTGTAAGTTTTCTATAATGTACGGCAGAAAAACAGAGTTGGAAAGGACCTTTGGGGTCTTCTAGTCCAACAGCCTGTCAAAGCAGGAGACCCTATACCAGTGATGGCTAACCTTTTTGCCATCACGTGCCAGGAGAGGGGGAGCGGGGGAGGGTCGCACGCGCACGTGCCCACGTGCCCCCCCCGCTCCTGGCACATGATGGCCTGGTAGGCCCATTTTTCTTTCTTACCTGGTTCCAGATCCTCTCTATTTATCTGGGAAGGGTGAAAACAGCCTTTCTCACTCTCTCGGAGGCCCTCCAAAGGCCTGAAACAGCCCATTTCCCAACTCCCAGTGGGACAGGAAGTGACATTTTTTGCTGTCCCACCGGGAGTCGGGAAATGGGCCCTTTCAGCCTCCGTAGGGCCTCTAAGGGAGTGGGAAAGGCTGTTTTCGCCCTTCCCAGATAGAGAGGATCTGGAGACAGGTAAGAAATAAAAACGGGCCTTCCCCACCCAACACCCAGGCCCTCCAGAGGCAGGAAACAGCCTGTTTCCCTACTTCTGGTGAGCCCAGAAGGCCCAAAAATCAGCTGGCTGGCACATGCATGCACCCCAGAGCTGAGCTGGCGTGCCCATTAATATGGCTCCACCTGCCACCTGTGGTGGTGTGATGGTTCGCCATCACGGCCCTATACCATTTTAGACAAATTGTTGTGCAGTCCCTTCTTAAAAATTTCCAATGTTGGAGTAACCAAAGCTTCTGAAAGCAAATTGTTCCACTGGTTGATTGTTCTGTCAGGAAGTTTCTCCTTAGTTCTGGGTTGCTTCTCTCTTTGTTCAGTTTCCATTCATTGCTTCTTGTCTTGCTTTCTGGTGCTTTGGAAAATAGATTGACCCCCCCCTCTTCTTTGTAGCAGCCTCTCAAATATTGGAACACTATATCATGTCACCCCTAGTTCTTATTTTCACTAAACAAAACATACCCAATTCCTGCAACTGTCCTTATATGTTTTAGCTTTCAGTCCCCAATCATCTTTGTTGCTCTTCTCTGTACTCTTTCCAGAATCTTAATATCCAGAAAAGGAAAACCTGCAATTCTAATCACCAAACTCCAAACAGCCTACAGTGGTAGAATTCAATTTTTTTTACTATTGGTTCTGTGGGCGTGGCTTGGTGGGTGTGGTGTGGCTTGGTGGGTGTGGCCGGGGAAGGATACAGCAAAATCCCCATTCCCTCCCCACTTCTGGGGGAAGGATATTGCAAAATCTCCATTCCCACCTCACTCTGGGGCCAGCCAGAGGTGGTATTTGCTGGTTCTCCTAACTACTCAAAATTTTCGCTACCTGTTCTCCAGAACCTGTCAGAACCTGCTGAATAGCACCCATAGCCTACATGGTGAGAGATGTTGAGAGTCGTGGTTCTGCAGCATGTAAGGATCTCAGCTGTACAGCTGTGTACTCAAATCCTGTTTTCAAAGGTTGGCATTGTAGACATCCTTGGTCTACAGTAATGTAGACCAAGGATGTTCAGATTGGAGATATGACCTTTGGGGAGATCACAAGCAATTGGTGGGAACTCTTTTTTTCCCCCCAAGCTGAACAGACTCGTGCAGGCAAAGTAGGGGACTGTCAAAATTGAATGGGTCCAGACTTGCTCACAAGCAGAGTTTAATAGGTGGTGAAACCCAATCACAGCAGGTTTGTGACTGATGGGTAGTTTTGCACCACCTGGCAAATTCCAGCATGGCCTAAAGCAGCATATCCCTTGTCTTTGCCATGTTGATACATGTAATCCAAGATCAGAATTGTTAATCCATTCTTTTCAGTTTCTAGCCTTTCAAAATGAAAATGGTTTTGCTGGATGGAGAAAAGGTAAAGCTGACCAAGCTACAGTTAATGCTTATAAAAGTTAAGTCCAGGTCAAACAAGTTTGAGGAAATTTACATATTTTTTTTGTTTTTGTTTTTTTTTAAAAAATAAATTTTTATTTGAGTATAAATATTAAAAAAAAACATAACATAACATACACACAACAAACATTTATACAACATATAAACAAAAAGAAAAGGATTATGTTTCCTTCTTAAGCATTATTTCAAAGTGACATTCTGCTTATAATACGTTTCTTCACCTCTCCTTAATCTAATAACATTTTTTATACCGGTAATATTTCCCCCTATATTTTTTGTTTGTTTCTAGTTTTTAACCAATTATACCAATTGTTCCATACTTTGTAATAGTCTGATTCTTCTCTTTCTTGTATTTCTTTGGTTAATCTATCCATTTCAGCGCATTCTAGAATTTTTTCTATTAATTCTGTTTCGTTTGGCGTTCTTTCTTGCTTCCAATTTTTTGCATAGATTATTCTTGCAGCTGTTAATATGTGAATTGTAAGGTATTTGATATCTTAGGGTATGATTTATTAAAGATTCCTATTAAAAATCTTTCTGGTTCTTTATCTATTTGTGTTTCTGTTATTTGTTCCAACCATTTTTTAATATTAGACCAAAATTTCTTTGCTGCTGGGCATGTCCACTATAAATGATAGAAGGTTCTTTGTGTCTTCTTACACTTCCAGCAGATTGGACTATTTTTGGGCTGTATTTTCGCCAGTCTAGTTGGAGACATGTGCCATCTGTAAAACATTTTAAAATACATATTTTTTTTTGTTGAATGGCATGTAAGCAGCCATAAACCCAATTAACCATTCATTTCGCTGATGGGAGAGGGTAGTCACACAAATTCATTTACCATTTTAGGAGGTCTCAGTACCACAGCGTTTGAGAATCTCTGCACTAGCCTAAAATATTGTTATTAGTTTTGACTCAGCATGTTGTAGGAACTCAGCATGTCAGTTTAGGAAACAATTGGGTTAATTCAATAAACTATGATTTAGCCCAGGGGTGAAATGTTCCCGGTTTGGATTGGATCGCCTGATCCAGTAGCGATGGCGGTGGGTGGTTTGGAGAACCGGTAGCAAACATCCCTGCCCCCCACCCCCATGCTCAGCTGAGCCGCGCGATCATCAGAGGCTGGTTTTTTTACTTTTAAAAGCATTTTTTCTACAACTTCTTTGGCCAAAAAAATGCTTTTAAAAGCCGAAGAGGTTGTAGGGAAAAAAATGCCTTTAAAAGCCTCTGGCGATCCCAGCTGAGTTGCCTGATCGTCAGAGGCTTCTAAAAGCATTTTTATCTGCAACCTCTTCAGTCGAAGAGGTTGTAGAAAAAATGCTTTTAAAAGTAAAAAAAAGAAATTGGCCATGCCCACCATCACATTACCCCCCCACCAAGCCACGCCCACAGAACCAGTAGTAACAAATTTTAGATTTCACCCCGATTTAGCCGTATACTTACCTATGAGTTAGTATATGCATCAAACTGAAATAGCTAGAGATCAACTCAACTCCAAAACTGAATTTTGCTGTAATCCAGTGTGCCCTTAGTGTGAACTATGAACCTGTCTGATGAATATTAAATTGCTAAACTATGTCCATTTGTTACCCTTGGCTCTTCCACCATTTTAGTTCATTTACTTTATTTATATTCCACCCTTTCTCTAAGACCTCAAGGTAGCACATATAAAGCAGTGGTGGGATTCAAAATTTTTTACTACCAGTTCTGTGGGCATGGCTTGGTGGGCGTGGCTTGGTGGGCGTGGCAGGGGAAGGATACTGTAAAATCTCCATTCCCTCCCCACTCCAGGGGAAGGTTACCGCAAAATCCCCATATCCTCCTGATCAGCTGGGACTCATGAGGCAGAAAATAGATGGGGGCGGGACCAGTCAGAGTGGTATTTACCGGTTCTCCAAACTACTTAAAATTTCTACTACTGGTTCTCCAGAACTGGTCAGAACCTGCTGAATACCATCTCTGATATAAAGGTCTTTCATTTTTACCTCCACAATACCAACCCTGTAAGGTAGATTGAATGAAACACAATCACTGGCTCCAGTTACCAAAAATTCCCATTTAAATCCTCAGTTGGGGCTAAATTTATTTATTTATTTATTTATTTATTGGATCGATTTATATGCTGCCCTTCTCCAGAGACTCAGGGTGGCTTACAATGTGTTAAGCAATAGCCTTCATACTTTTGAATATACCTGCTTAGAAGGGCTTTCGTCCCCCCCCACCACCAAGCAATGTTCTTTTTTATACAAAGTCAGTTTATTGCCCCCACAATCCGGGTCCTCATTTTACCTACCTCGAAAAGGATGGAAGGCTGAGCCAACCTTGAGCCTGGTGAGATTTGAACTTGCAGTAATTGCAGGCAGCTGGTGCTACTTAACAGCACTTTAGACTGCTGCGCCACCAAGGCTCCTTAGGCCAAGAAAATGGGATTTTCTTGGCCTAAGTCCAATGCCATCATCACTATATCCTCATATATGCCCTACTCTATACCCTCACCCATAAAGGCAAAGTACTCAAGGAATAAGAGAAGCTTCAGCCACTTTTTTTTATAAAGATTCCTTATGGAATCTTGGTATTGTGACAAATCTTTGAAATGTTCTGTTTGAGAATATTGCCGTGCAACCAGAGAGCTGCTGACAGCCCATCAACAAATCAATTGCACTGAAAGTCTCCACAACTGGCTGTGATATATGAGGCATAGGAAACACCAGGTAAGTCTGAGGCTGGCTACCCTCTAAAATCTTCATTAGTGGTTTTCAGAGACAAAAATACATTGCAGTATCGATCACCTTTGCTAATCAAAAAAGGAGGGCTTGCAAAAACAGCAAGTAAATGGAATCACTTAGAGATAGAGGGACCTCAGCCAAATGGAGGAGTTTAAATGGGATGAGATTTAATTTAGAGGCCATAAATGTAAAGCACTCTATAATAGCACCCAGCATGGGGACGCATAATGGAAGAAAATTCCCTTCACTTTAGCTAGCACAGAAGCATGATTGGCTGGGAAAGTAAGAGCACGCTGATATCTGCAAAGGACAGATCCTGGTACTTGTATATCAGTCCTCAATGAGCAGGACAGAAAAGGATGTTAAAAAAAAAAGAATGGAGCACTTGGATTATGTACTAGTCTACTTTCCTGATAGGGCAGAGCAATTACATATGCTTTTTGACTCTGAAATGTATGGATTTACTCAGAAATCTATCAGTAGATCTCATCTATCTTTAGACCTTTCCTTCACTTCAGGGTTTCAATTTAACCTTTCTTCAATTTCTCCCTGCTCTGAGCATGTATGGGGAGTTGCCACTGTTTATGTTGCAGCTGTTAATAGCCCCCTGCAAATGCACAGTATGGTTTGAAGAACAGGAGATCAGCAATTCTAAGTTTTGTTAATGGTTTGGTTTGTTTATTTGTTTGTTTGTTTGTTTGTTTTAAAGGAATCACCAAGCTTTTCTTGCAGCAATAAAGTCTGAACCAGTTCATTGCCCCTTCTTTCTAAGGTTGCATTCACACAGCACGCTTAACATATCCATATTTTTCTCAACGATCCCAGTTTTTTGGGATTGTACCTACAGTGGAATGTCTGAGTCCATAGAGTTGAAGGATGGAAACATCAAACCTCCTCTACCATAAGCTCTCTGGCTCTTCACCCCTGAGTTCCACCTCCTGCTTGGGGGTAGCTGGAAGATAGTTCCTGTTGCTGTTACCGAAGCAGCATTTTATTTGACATTCTCTGCTGGCATTTTTGACTGACAGCCAACAAGATAACAAGCTGGATGCCTGCTATAGTCCAGTGATAGGCAAAATTGGATGGACCTTTGAGAAGTGAAGAATTCTTTTCATCTATAGTTAAAGATGGCAACTGCATCATAGTCCAAGGCTTGGCACAGATTGAGACCAGGAATCCAATAAACAAGCAAGAAACCCATGATATAAGACAAGAGGCCTAGTGAGGTGGAATCCAGAGTCTTAGCAAGGCAAACACCACAAAGTTTAGGCTTGAAAACTTGTTCTCAGAGTTTTCTCTCAAGGAGTAATAAATAAGCTAAACTGAACCAATAGCCAAATACACCACTGAGACACCTTACTCATTACAGTCTACTCTCCTCCTAGCCCGATTTTTTACCAGTCTGGGTGACCATGGACCTCTGCTGTTTAAAGCCTCCAAAGTTCAAACAGCAGAGTCTGAAGTATAGGCAAGGAGCCCTGAGGACTTTCTGGATCTACCTCAGCCTGAGTGGAGTCATAGGTTTCTATGCTGCTGGAATCATCCCTTGCAAGACTATTATTGGGCCACAATATTTCCCCACATGTTGGCAAGTGTGAGAGAGGAAACTCTGACACACTGGGCTGTCTTCCTAGTGATTAAAGGTAAACATTGGACAAAAAAAGCTTATTCCATTTTTTTTTATAATATGAAATCATTTCAAGAAGTAATAAAAAACACACATCTTGAATCACAATAGGCCGTGTAGTTTAGAAGTGTGCAGCTACAAGATTTCAGCCTTTCCTTAGGAGCGAGATCAATCTCACAAGAGATAAGCAAAATCAAATTATAAAAAAGAGATAAAGTATAAAACTTGTATAGTTATAAACTTGAAAGGGTTCATAGTCAACATCACGGAAAGGAAGTTACAGACTTTCTTTGATCATGATCAACAGCTAAATGTAAAATGGTCAGTAGCATCTACTATATAGATACCTAATCTCAGCTTTATACTGTAGAACAGGGGTGTCAAACTCACGATGACACATTGTCGTCATGTGACATATCACAACTTTTTCCTCCTTTGCTAAAATGGGGGTGGGGGTGGCCAGTGTGCGATGAATCTGGGCTGCCGCAGGCCACGAGTTTGACACCCTTGGTCTAGAACAAAAAGCACTTCAAAAATTCTAGTGACAAAGAACAACTTTTCATTGATAAAGCAATATTTTAAAATGCTGAAAGGCATAAAACAATCATTTATACGGCTTAGATTAGTTACAAAAAGCATTAGATTCACTACACAATAGTTGGATTAAAAATATTTGGAAAGTTTTGAATTCAATGGGAAAACATATAACTTTCTAAATAATGCAATAGAAAATAACACAAAAGAACTTAGAAGTCAAAATCAAAAGACAATATGTTTAGAGATTCTTTGTCTCTACTGACTAAAATGTTCTCGGAGTATGGATCATCTAAGCAAGGAACAAATGTTTTACATTTATTCTTCCGATATGGTTTGAAATTATATGCAAGATTGTCTGAAGAAATACATTTACTTTTAGATACAGTTAAAAACTTTAGTGATGACATGAAAATGGTATTTGGATTGAGAAAAATGTGCAATAGTGGCAATAAAAAAGGAAAAATTGAATACTTAGATGGAATTGAATGCCAGCAAAATGAAAACACTGAAATGGAGGAGAGTTGTACATATTTGGATGTTTTAATATTGGTATACTTAAATGAAAAAGAAAACCAGCCCTGAATATGGAATATGACTTTTTAAAGTTTTCAATCAAAACTGAATGATGGTAATACAAAGTCAAATAATACAAAGTTGTCCTTGCAATATGCTGTACAACAGATACTGTTGGCTGGATTCGGGTGGAATTAGATGCTTTAGACCACAAGACCTGAAATATATGATAATACATCATGCAGTAAACCGCAAACCCAACATTATGTTGCTGAACTCAATATCATGCACTGTGATCCTTAACATTCCAACCACTCCAGCAAGCAACACTGATTTTTTTTTTGTATTTACCAAGGAAAATTGGTGCTTATTTGCTGCAAGTAAAGCAGACAGTGGAGGATGAAATCTGAGGTTTCATTCAGTGATTACATAAAAGCGAGCAAAAAGAGGATATTAAGTCTCCAAGGAAAATATTTTGAAAGTGACAGAATCAAAGGTGACATAAAATACTGAACAGGTGCAACAGTAAATGAAAAATTAGATAAATCTTTACACGGTCAATATCTAAATGAAATTGAAGGCAATGTGAATAGTAACAAAACTTGCCAATGGTTTCAGACTGGCTCAGTCAAGAAGGAAAGAGACGGATTAATATTTGCTAGCAACAAACCCCATAAAAGAAAAAAAGTAGAAAAACTGGAAACTATAACAAATTAGATTATGCAAAGATGACGATGAGACTATCTGATCGGTACCAGTAGCAAAATCGCCTACACACAAATGATAGTCATTTGACACCTTCTCTATATATCACAGAACTTCCTCTGACAAACACAAGCGTGGGGGGGTTTTGAGGGAGGAAATACGCTGAAACATTTGCTTTAAAAAAAAAACAAGGAAAGGTTTCTCAATTCCCAGAAAAAAAAAACAAAAGCAAAATTCCAGTCCCTACCTATCACCCAGCCACTAAGCATCCCAGTGCAGCTTTTGCCTTAGCCACCAAATGTTGCTCCCTCTGTAGCAAATCAAGGTTTACAAATCAGGCTGAGTGGGTTATACAGTGTGCTAAACCATAAACAAAACACCCATTTTGGCTTAGTGCATTGGTACAGGTAATCCTCGATTTACAACTGGTTACTTAGCAACCATTCAAAATTACAGTGTTCCTATTGGGTATCCTACCTAACAAAATTAAAAAGGAATATATTTATTTGATTATACACGTAATAACAGTTGCAAGAATTGTTTATGCTCAAAATTGGAAATTAGAGAAAATACCTTTGGAAGATGAAGTAATAAAAAAGATTTTAGATTGTGCAGAAATGAACCGATTAACTTTGTTGATTAAAGACAGGGAAGAATCAGAATACTTTAGAATATGGAATTATTTTTATTGTTGGTTGGAAAAGAGATATAAATGATTAATTTTGTAACTATGTGTAAAAATTTGATGGCAAGAATATGGTTATAGGAATGAACTTTTATAGTGGTTTGGATGACGATTAAGATAGAAGAAACTGTTGGAACAAGAAAAATAAAAAGAACTGAAGAAGTCAACACTGAAATGTCACAGGGCAGGGATGACTGATGTATTAAATGTTTGTTTGTCTTAAAAAATAAAAAACTTAAAAAAAAAAAGTACAGTGGACCTACCACAGAGCTACTGATGACCTGGATTCAAAGTTCTGATAATTGCACCCCTAGTGGTCAACCAGGCTGCATTTATTGCCATTTGCAGTGTCCCACGGTTACACGATTGCATTTTATAATGGTTTTGCCAAAATGTGACAGTTACTTATGGTTTTTGGCAAAACTGCACCCATAGCAAGCCATTGGTTCACTTAATGACCCACACATAAAAGTTGTAAAATCGGGTCAGTCACATGACCAATCCTGTTTTACAACCATCACATCTTATGACCATGATAGGCAGGCTTCATTACGGTTTTAAGTAATGAAGAGCCTTGATAGTACAGTGGTCTACGCACCCTGTTATTAACACAGCTGCCTGCAATTTACTGCTGGTTCGAATCTCTCCAAGGCTCAAGGTTGACTCAGCCTTCCATCCTTTCAAAGGTAGGTGAAATGAGAACCCAGATTGTGGGGGCAATAAGATGACTTTCTATAAATATACAAAAGTATGAAGGCTATTGCTTAATGCATTGTAAGCCACCCTGAGTCTCCGGAGAAGGGCGGCATATAAATCAAATTAAAAAAAAAAAGTTGTGCATGTACATCATGTTTTACATTATGTTGAAGGCCTCAAGGAAAAGGGGATAAATACAGTAAAAATGGGGCAGAATCTGGAAATGTAGTCTAATAGCAAGATTCAAGTTGCTGGGAGTATGCATAAAGGTAAAAGTAAAAGTTCCCCTTGCACATGTATGCTAGTCGCTCCTGACTCTAGGGGGTGGTGCTCATCTCTGTTTCAAAGCCGAAGGGCTAGCACTGTCCAAAGATGTCTCTGTGGTCATGTGGCTGGCATGACTAAACGCCAAAGATGCACGGAACGCTCTTACCTTCCTACCAAAGGTGGTCCCTATTTTTCTACTTGCATTTTTTACATGCTTTCGAATTGCTAGGTTGGCAGAAACTGGGACAAGTAACAGGAGCTCACCCCATTACACCTCACTAGGGATTCGAACTGCTGAACTGCCGACCTTTCAATTGACAAGCTCAGCATCTTAGCCACTGAGCCACCACATCCCTGGGAGTGCATACAACTCTCCAAATACTGACACAGAAGAGGGAAACTACACTCATTCCACCTTCATAACCACCCTGTCAAAAAGACACAACTGTTTGGGTCAAAGTAGCATAGTATACTTGATAATGCTTCCTGAGAATTAATTTCTAGGGACCACTTTATACAATCGTAGTATATTAGCCTCAAGTAGTAAAATTTAATGGGACTGTGATATTTCCTGTTGAAGGGAAGAAGATTGTATACTTGAATGCTCCATCATTAAAAAAAAAAAAAGATCAATGCAAAGAGAAAAATAGCAGAGATTGCATTTGCAGGACATTTAAAGATCTCTTACAGCATACAGATCCAGTGCTTTGGGGGGAAAATGTGTTCAAGAGGAACTCCTTAATCACACTTCATTCCCAAGACTGTTGATATATTTTTAACTGTTTCTTGTGTCAACCACTGGCCTAAGGAGGTTAACCTAAAGTTAGTGTTCTTTGGCAGCCTTTGGTAAAAGTCTAGAAGAGTGGGCATTTTTTTCTCCCCAGAAATATAATTTCACGTAAAAGTGGGAAGCTCTCACTTAACACCTTACAGTAGACTCAGCGTCAAGGAATGCAGGATTTTTTTCTCTTGCTTGTGTTCATAGAATTGTCAAATTAAAAGGTAAAGGTGGCTTTTATATATTTCAGTTGGGCACAAGGTACAACTAGTTTTACAGAACACTGATGGCTGCTAAAATTGCTTCTCCCAACAAGAATCTTTGTTATTTTTTGATATCCGATCATCTAACTTTTGTAACTACTGATAATTCCCCTCTTATAAGACCAAACAAAATAAAGGGTAAGGATACTAGAATTGTACCCAATCCACTACTTGAATAGCAACATCCTGGACTATTCTGGCGTGCGCAAGAATTTTAACCATCCTAAACCCAGGCCTATGAATTCTCACGGGTCTTTGCCTGTGGAAATGCAGTCTTGGTGGGAACCAAAATTCAAAACATCTCAAAAGTGCCTGTCTTTGTCCACCATTAAGCCATCTTTCCAAGTAGTCTCCATGTTTCCAGTGTCTCTCCCTACTTGGAACTGAATGAACCCAGATGGACATTTCTTCCAATGCTTCCTGCCTGCCTGCCTGCCTCTCTGTCCTTGTCCTGCTTCAGACCGTGACGCTTTACAAGTAGTTCCACTTCACTTCCCTTTCTCATTTGCCCCTTTCTCTCCCTTCTGCCTCCCCTTGGCCCTGTGTCTTCCTGATGACAGGGGATAGATTGTCATCTCCCTTTTTCTCCTGATAGAATTCCAATACTGAATCTGGGCTGCGGAAATTGAGGTGGCAAATCGTAACCTTTTGCTGCCATCTAGTGGTTGTTGGGATTTTTGTAATCTATATATGAAACCCCACTCTGCAGTCATGCCAATGTCAGGTGCCCTCAAGTTTAAGAAGTAATTTGGTGTGGGTTTTGGGGGACGGGGCTAAGGCTTCTGATGTATTTAACCTCTGATGAAGGCGTGTTTGTTTGTTTTATTTATCTAAAACATTTATATAGCTGCCTATTTTATTCCAAACTCTGAATGTGTTGAATCAAGGTTAAGCAATGAAGCTCCTTTTTTTCCCCTATATCTGTGATCATTCATGGAGCTCAAATGATATACTCCTAAGACATTTGTAGGGTCATGTGGGACATCCATGCAATATGAGAGCATAGGCTTTGGCTATATTTTCAGGAGATGGCTGTGCCCAACAATGGAAAGAAAAAGAGATACCGGCTAGTGCCCAAATTATAAATAAAGTATTAGAGTGCGCTGAGGCGGACAGAATGACGTATATGTTGAAAGAAAAAGAGGATTCTGAATTTTTTCAAAGTTGGGACAGTTGGTATCAGTGGTTGAATAAAAGGATTGAGATGAAGTGAGGGCCTAAGTCAATATGAAGAGAGTTATATTTATCTAGATTGAAAGATAATTGTATGAAAACCATATTTGGGGATTATTACTTTATTCTGTGTTGTGGGCATAATTATTTATTAATGAGGGCAGGAATATTATCTGCCGAGATAGACGTGTTTGTATGTTTAGTGTTATGAATGGGGGAGGGAGGGAGGGGAATGTATGGTTTTTGTTTTTATGTATAATCAATGTTTTTGCCTTATGTGGATTTTAACTTGGAAAAATTAATAAAATTTATTTTTTTTAAAAAAAGGAGATGGCTATTGGTCCAGTGGTGGGTTGCCCCGGGTTCAGACCGGTTCTATAGAACCCGTAGTAAAACTGACCCAGATGTCATCAGGAAGCTTCTGCGCATATGCAGAATCGCACACACGCGCGGCCCCATTACGAACCAGTAGTAAAGGTAAGTAGAACCCACCCCTGTATTAGTCCCCCACAAATCATTCATACTTGTCATCTCCTGGAAGCACCTGGTCATCAGAACATCCCTGTAATTAGAAAACAATGCCCATCTCTGTAAGGTCTGCATATTCCCCAGGTATATGTTGCGCCACCTGCTGGCCTGGTGCTGTATGTCTGCTGCAATAGACCAGCAGAGGGTCTAGCCTTCATGGGTTGCATTCAGTAGGCTGCATACAGAGAAGCAATGGATTCTGAGCCAGTACACACTGATATTCAATACCGGCTGGGCTTGACATGAATAAACCTTGTAGCTGTACAGTTTTTTGAAAAATGGAGCGTATGCTGGAGATGCTTCACCTGCAAATACTGTAGTGTCATCTAAATGGAGGACAAGAGAGAAGTCATCTGGGTCTTTAAGAGGCTGTAGGGTGGGGGCTATGGACTCCACCCGTGTACCTATCCTGGCATCAAAATAGGTTGGCCACAATATTTTAGACCAATGGGGACCCCAAAGACTTCTTTATAAATATGTATGGTATTCAGGAGAGGAGCTTTTGGCACAACACTGCTGTTTTAGAGCATCCCATCTCTTGCAGTGGATGGCGTTTTAGAGCTTCCACCTCCTGAAGCAGTTCTTCAGTTCAATTGGTGGATGGTTTTCTGAGCCACTCCCTTCATCCCTCATTCACCATGTGAATCAGATACGGCTGATGGCTCCCTCTCATTTCCCTGCATACTCCAATACCGGATCTTGAACAGCTACCACAGCCAGGCCACAAATGATGGTGGAAAGAGTGTTTGGTCTTCAGCCTTCAAATGATCTTCTCCAACTGTTTCTAGATTTAGCTCTGGATATGGCCATTGCTTCTTCATTACAACACTGAGAGCTGTGAAGAGTTATAAATTGGGATTTTCCATCAATAGACTCATGTCTTGTATTTAAACTGCAGATGGGAATATTTCCCAACTGCAGAATTATATGATGCAAAAGGACCTTGTTACGGTAAATCAGCAACTGAGATCAGCTTCAAAAATCCCATGTTTTTTTAGTAATTTTCCTGTTCTTTGTTGTATTATTTTTTTGCTGTAAGGCACCCAGAGTCCCTTGGGAGTTGGGCGGCATAGAAATTCGATAAATTAAATTAAATAATAAACACCAAATGCATAGGGACCAGGGTTACTTATCAATCTAATTTTCACAGGAATGAATTCAGACATTTCGCACTTCCTCTCCTGAGAATCCCAGCAAGATTCATCCCTTTCTTCTCTAATTTCAGTGGATTCTGAGAACTTGATTATCTCTGGATCTGGTCCCAGGTCATTTGGTTTTGTTACTTCTTTAATTGTGCTCATTATTTTACAGCTCTAAATTTGCATGCCTACGTGTGTTAAAAACTGTGACTCATGGTTAAGATTGATAAGTGACTCTTGTTAAGAATCCTCGCTCTTCTTCATTTTAATATTTTCTAGATGCCTTTAATTTGGACTCATTTACTGCTTCTGAGTCAGTCACTCGCTCTCCAACAAACTACCTACAGATTGTTGTGAGAATAAAATTGGGTGAAAGAACTATGCACGCTATTTAATCTGCTCAAGGAAAATCAGTAAATAAATGTAATAAAAATCAGAGGGGTTTTCTTTCTCCCCTCAGGAGCAACAAATGGTTTACGTGGTAAAGTCTTTGGAGTTGTTCGAGACAAAAGAACATTTTACTCTTTTAATTGAAACCTGATAACGAATGTCTTTTATATGGTATTGAACAAGTGCTCTGGTTGTCACTACAGTGCAATGTACAACATCAGCAGTTTGGACATGAATCTCCCTTGGAGGCTTTTAGTTCTTCTTTATGCTTCCAGATCTTTATATACTACATGTGAATGATGTGATCTTTAACATCAATGGCTTAATGAAATCCTGGCTCAGGAGGTTATGGAGTTACGTCCACATGAAAAACAGAAAGGCATTCTTATTGATGTATCCATGGAGGACCCCTTTGCTACCACCGACTTGCTGAAAAGCAGAACAAAAACATTTTGAAATGTTATTGATCTTAGGTTTTCATGAGGTTTCCAATCGTTATTTCTGTTTCCCATTGCCTGGGCTTTTAAATTTCACAGAGAACAGAAGGTCTATGATAGAAATGACCAACTTGAAATGCTGAATAAATTCACTCATTTCCCTCCATTATCCAACTACAGTATTTTGTCGCTGGGAAATTGCTTCACGCGGTATAAAGCAGATATCGATATCATAACTGCAGAGTGGAAACCTCAGGCATCCTATTGAATACCTTTGGGAGCCTTTAATAAGGGCACATCTTGGGTTAGTCTCGCCCCATATTCCGTGGATCGCTTTGCACTCATGCAATAGGACTTTCTGGTTTTTCTTTGAAGATGTTTCACTTCTTATCCAAGAACTTCTTCAGCTCTGACTGGATAGCGGGGGGGGGGGGGAGGTACAAGCATCTTTGGGACAACCTTGACCAGGATGACTGAGAATCTCCATAGGCACTCATGCAATAAGAAGTTTCAAAACCTAGAAAGAATGCAGGGATCCTACAATTACTTTTTTTCATGCTTTGACATGAGCTTGTTCTTTTCTACTTCCATAAGGCTTTTGCATAAACAAAAGCACTGCAACAATAAAACTATGTTTACTAAGAAGCAAATCCCATTCTAAAGCAGTGGTACTCAATCAGATGTGCCATGGGCTTGTCTCCAGCATGTTACAGGATTTTCGTCTTTTTTTTTTCAATATATAGAATAGAATAGAATAGAATAGAATAGAATAGAATAGAATAGAATAGAATAGAATAGAATAGAATAGAATAGAATAGAATTCTTTATTGGCCAAGTGTGATTGGACACACAAGGAATTTCTCTTGGTGCATATGCTCTCAGTGTACATAAAAGAAAAGATACGTTCATCAAGAATCATAAAGTACAACACTTATTGATAGTCATAGGGTACAAATAAGCAATCAGGAAACAATATCAATATAAGTTGTAAGGATACAAGCAACAAAGTTAGTCATACAGTCAAAATTGGAAGGAGATGGGTGGTGGGACCGATTAGAAGATTAATAGTAGTGCAGACTTAGTAACTAGTTTGATAGTGTTGAGGGAATTATTTGTTTAGCAGAGTGATGGTGTTCGGAAAAAACTGTTCTTGTGTCTAGTTGTTCTGATGTGCAGTGTTCTATAGCGTCATTTTGAGGGTAGGAGTTGAAACAATTTTTGTCCAGGATGCGAGGGGTCTATAAATATTTTCATAGCCCTCTTTTTGACTCGTGCAGTATACAGGTCCTCAATGGAAGGCAGGTTGGTAGCAATTGTTTTTTCTGCAGTTCTAATTATCCTCTGAAGTCTGTGTCTTTCTTGTTGGGTTGCAGAACCAAACCAGAGTTATAGAGGTGCAGATGACAGACTCAATAATTACTCTGTAGAACTGTATCAGCAGCTCCTTGGGCAGTTTGAGCTTTCTGAGTTGGCGCAGAAAGAACGTTCTTTGTTGTGCTTTTTTGATGACGTTTTTGATGTTAGGTGTCTATTTTAGATCTTGCGATATGGTAGAACCTAGAAATTTGAAGGTCTCTCCTGTTGATACTGTGTTGTCTAGTATTGTAAGAGGTGGAAGTATGGAAGGGTTTCTCCTAAATGTACGGTTTTGAGTGTGTTCAGTTCCAGATTGTTCCAGTCGCACAAGGCTAGTTGTTCAACCTTCCGTCTGTATGCGGGAGGTTGAATGAGACGGATCACTGTTGTGTCATCTGCGAACTTCAATAGTTTTAACAGATGGATAGTTAGAGATGCAGTCATTGTTATACAGAGAAAAGTGGAGAGAGCACACAGCTTTGGGGGGCCCCTGTGCTAATTGTACAGGTATCTGATGTGATACTGCTTAGCTTCAACTGCTGCTTCCTGTCTGTTAGGAAGCTTATGATCCACTTACAAGTGTGTTCAGGTACCTGTAACTGGTTTAACTTAGTTAGAAGAGTGTCTGGAATGATGTTATTGAATGCTGAACTAAAGTCTACAAAGAGGACCCTTGCGTAGGTCTTTGGAGATTCAAGATGTTGTAGGATGTAGTGCAGAGCCATATTAATAGCATCATCTGTGGATCTATTTGCTCGGTGTGCAAATTGCAAGGGGGTCTATTTTTTGGCATTATGTATATTCTGTATAAACCATATATTCAATTCAGTGCAGATATTTTTAAATATTGTATAACTTTCCCTCAAACCATGTCTTATATGCTTAAAAATACATATATAGAATTAATAATTTTCTGGTGTGTCACAGAACTACTGCTACACTTGAGATTGTATGGTTGATTCAAAGAAGTTGAAAACCACTGGTCTAAACAAGAACTTCCGTTTCTGTTTGAATTACCAAACCAATTTTATTTGAAATCTCAAATTGCTCCAAACACAGCTTGATGTAATAGATGCTAGTCATGGCCAATAAAGAAAAAAAATGCAATAGGTCAGCTTTTGCCTGGAGAAATTACAGGAAGACCTTGTTTATGGACTGCCTCATTTGATGATGAAAAAAATAACTTTGTGACCAAGGTGTGCATTTATGACCTTCACAGCATCTTCCTATCATGTTTGCCATTACAGTCAATTCATATGCATCATCCTATGCCTGACCCATTTTTGCTTTCCCCCTCCCCCGCAAAGTTTGTTTCAATAAGCAATCTCTTCCTGAACTGTTTTTCTCTACATTGCAGTGCTTCCCCAAAAGATGATAACCACAAGTTAACAAACTCAGCTCTGTAATCTTAATTCACTGGCTCCCAACTGCTGCCTGTAACTGACAAGATTTCAATCACTTTCACATTTCTGCCTGGAGCTGCTAGTGCACTAGACTAGGCAAACAGCCAATGCTAACATTTCTTTTTATGTGCATTCTCCACTGTGTGCCTGCTTATACTCTTTTGTAATCCCTTCCTTTCCAACGAATGTAAATATGAACATAAATTATCTTCTTTCTAATTATCCCAGTGTTAGGGTGAGGATTCCAAAGGGCAGGAGAGTGAAAGGGCAGGGAAAAGGAAAGCTAAAGTATAGTCATGGTCGCTTAGCAACCGAGATGCTAATCCCAATTGTAATCCCTGAACAATAATGCCCCGTATAGTCTAAAATGAAATAAATAGGGGCAAGACAATTTCATCCTTACATTACCACTATAAAACAGAGGTGCACATCCCAAGTTGCAGGACCATAGTGCATCCTTTAAAAAAAAAATGGGCTGGGTAGTTATCAAATTGCAATAAGATTAATAGTTTAAAAATTACTAATTTTTTTTTTAATCTTGATCCCACTTTTTTTATAATCACAGCCCCCAAGCAACCCGTTCAAAGCACAGGCACAATTTTTAGGCCGGAAAGAACATTACATAACCCAGATAAAGTCAACTCATGTTGATTCAAGGACAATTCCATGTGGTTTTCTTGGGAACAACAGGGAAGTAACTTGCCATTACCTCCTTCTAGCATTGATTACTTCCCAGTTCCGGCTACACTTTTTTGGATTTTCTGGAGATCTCCCATCCAAGGTCAACCTTTATGAGATTAGCCAAGTCACTGGGTATTTAGACATACCCACTGGCAACATTACAAACTAACTGTGGCAGCAGATGGTTAGACTCTGCTCCATCACATAAAAAATGGAAACTGACTTGCTCTAATGTTTACAAAAAATATTTTAATACAGATATTATTTCAGAAGAGGAAATCAGCTGGGTTTCTAAAATGTGTGAGCAGGGGGTAGCAGTAGAATCTGTTTTTATTAACCCAGAAGGCAATTATATTTCAGCTAAGGAGGGTCCTGGACAGCTGGAAAGTTAAAAACTTCCCTTCTGCCCAGACTTCATCCTAGGAAGATATGTTGCTGTTACTCTTCCACTGTTTATAAGATCAGTTCAGCATTACACAAGACAAATAAAGACACGTTTAATTTTATTGGCCAGCAACATAACTGCATTTAAGCATGGTTAATATATACATATATTTTAAAAAAGAAAAAAAGAAGAGCAGGCACAGCTTACCAATCAGCATATCTGGTCTGCTTATACCATGGCACTATATGACTCCCAGAAAGAAGGGAAAAAGAAAGCTAGCCAATGTGCATGTACATTTCAGTAGTCAAACATCATTTCAAGCTATCATAGCAGTAGTTTAGTTAATAACCCATTTCTCAAGGAACACACCATGTCATATTCAAGAAATAATTCACCCCTAATTCTAGAAATGAATTTCTGTCAATAATTTAAGACCTGTCAACCTTAACAGTGAGAATAGCTTTTCCCCTCACTCCTGTGTGAACATTTACACAAAGAAGATCTGTCTTTTCATCTTGCCATTTGCCTTCTGAACATTCGTCTCTTGGACTCAAAACAACAACATGGATGTTTCAGAACAATGTGAGTTAATGTTAGGTGTTTGCAGTAAGGGTCTACAAAAGGGGAGAGAAAGAAGAGAGAGAGATATATTTTTAAAAATACTTTCTTCCACCTTTCCTTTCTCTGAGAGAATGAGTAGTGATTTTGCGGTGGGGTAGGGAATATGGCCAAAGTGGATTGGTCCTGGCTGAAAAAGAAGTCTCGGATCATGTGACTTCCCTTGCTGCCAATTCTGTCAGAAGAACCAATAAGAGAAGAGATGGGGAAAATGGAGAATGGAGCCCTGCTAGGCTCCAAAGCATCACAGACCTTACAGGCAGTAGTCTGTTAACCAGGGATAGACAATCTGATGGCCCACTATGACTATGGACTGCATCTCCCATTAAACCTAAATGGCACAGCTAATGGCCAGGGATTGTAGGAACAACAATCCATAGTGAACACTTTAAAAAGCACACTCGAGTGCCCACTGCTGTTGATGAGGGATAAACAAGCATTAACTAAAGACTTTTATACCTGAAACCCAAAATGGGATGTAGGAAGGGGCAAGAAATGTTCTAGCAGTGGGTATACCAATTGGACCCTGAACGACTATAAAGGATAGGCATCTTCTCTAGGAATTCTCCATGTGGATGAATTCTTGGGAAATTAATAAATCCAGCGATGGGAGCCAGTACCTGGTCAGCCTCCTCAAACAGCACCAGATGGAGTATTACTATGGCTGCAAAAGGTAGTGATCACTTTTCTGCTTTGCTGATCAATTTTTAATGATCATGTTTTAGAAAAGACACCACCTTCTCAACATTTTTTTTCCTAATGAATCTCACTCATGATGCAAGGTGATCAAAATTTTGGATCTCTTCCTATCAGATCATACCTGGCTGGTAAATGAGGCTTTCATATCAGTCTTCAAACTTAATATATTTTTTTTCCCCAATGAAGAGATGTCATTCTGGAAATGGATCTAATTCTATGAAGAGTGACTACTGCATACCACAAAGTGGAATTATCTCAACAGCCTTCCTCAAACAAGAAGTCAGTTTTTGGTTGTTGTTTTTTAAAGTCCACAATTTCTAACTATGTGAACAAAATAATATCTTCCAACACTTGGTTTGTGAAACACAAAAGAATATTCTTCTCCAGGGCAAAAATATTCCTTGAAGGGGGGGGAAATGTGCAGGGTACCTCATTCATCCATCCCTGGGTAGTAGTATCCTGTAAGGCAATTAGGAGGAAAAAAATTTCCAGTATGGAGTATCTATTGACAGATAGAGCTATCCTCTTGGGTAAGATGTCGTGAAAACTTCCATATAGACACTGTATTTAGGAAAAGGAAGAAAGCATCTACTGCACACACACAATGCTTAGTTGTCATATCTTGGAGCTCAAAGACCTTGATTGATGGTTTGGGAAAAGACAAAGGCACCATGTCCTTGGGAGCTCTCTTTCAGATTGTGTGCTTGTAAAGAATTCAACCAGACTGCATTCTATAGTTCCATTACGTTGGAGTGAGAGGAAAAAAATGACTTAGCTAAGCACTGAATTCCCTCCTTACTGACTCGAGGACTATTATTTCTGGCAGAGGCACTGGATGATCCCAGAATAAATTCCTTGAAGCAGCAAAGTCCTGGAAAGGTTGATAGTTTTGTGCTGCTGTAGAGAAGGTCAAGGTGACGGGCTGGAACGTGGAGAAATTGAGTAGGTGGGCAATCCATGAGCTCTTAGTAAGGCTCTAGCTTCAAGCTATTATACAGACAGCAAGTAAAGCACATCCCAAATATCTAGGAGACAAAGAGAATGGAGGTAAGTAAGAGGGGGGCTATAATATTAAGCCTGAACATCTGTGGATCCATGCAGTTAATTTGTTTTGTTTATATCCTGCCTTTATTATTTTTGCAGATAACTCAAGGTGAACATAGCCAACACACCTTCTTCCCCCTATTTTCCCCACAACAGCAACCCTGTAAGCAGTGGTGAAATCAATTTTTTTTTTACTACCAGTTCTGTGGGCGTTGCTTGGTGGGCGTGGTGTGGCTTGGTGGGCGTGGCAGGGGAAGGATTCTGCAAAATCTCCATTCCCACCCCACTCCAGGGGCAGGATACTGCAAAATCTCCATTCCCACCCCACTCCAGGGGAAGGATACTGCAAAATCCCCATTCCCTCCCCATTCCTGGGGGAAGGATATTGCAAAATCTCCATTCCCACCTCACTCTGGGGTCAGCCAGAGGTGATATTTGCTAGTTCTCCAAACTATTCAAAATTTCCACTACCGGTTCTCTGAACTGCTCAAAATTTCCGCTACCGGTTCTCCAGAACCTGTCAGAACCTCCTGGATTTCACCCCTGCCTGTAAGGTATGTTGGGCTAAGAGAGAGTGATTGGCCCAAAGTCACCCCAGCTGGCAGGATTTGAACTGACAAGCCTCCTGCTTTCTAGTATGGTACCTTAACCACTAGACCAAACTGGCTCCTGGTTTAAATCACCATTTCTCAAATTTAGCAATGTTAAGATCTATGGATTTTGATTCCCAGAATGATATGGATTGCTGCAATTTTATATTAACTTTGCTAAAATCTATGATTGCAAATAAAGGTTTCAATGTTAACTCCCAGAATTCCCAGGCCAACAGTTTAATGGAGGTGCTGTTTGCTGGAGAAGGTTAACAGGATAAGAATATTCCACCTATGTGCCATTGGTCTCTTGGTCTTAGCTCTTATAAATCTGGTCTTAGTTCTTATAAACTTTTAAATTTTTGTTTTTCTATTTATCTTTTTTTATCATTTATAAGCCACCCAGAGTCACATTATCAGTGAAATGGACGGCATAAAAATTTAATTAATTAATTAATTAAATCAAACTGTATCCTATAATCAGAAATGCTGAGTGTGCATTTAGGTGGACCTATAAGAAAGAACTGGAGATTTTCTCTTGGTAAGTCATGGGGTAACTGAATAGGATGGCAATGAGCTTTTAAGACAATCAATATATTATGCATAGGGACATTTCTTTCTATGGTGTTGTAAGAAAGCAAAACCTGGATTACATCATAGTGTGCAGATCCAATTTAACAAAAATTCTCAAGTGAACTGTGTACAGTTCTTAGGAGAATTGGGTTATTTTCAGCATTTTCACAGCAGGCTTCCTTTTTTACTACAAACAAAAAACTAACACTCTCCAAAGTTATTTGAAATGTGCAGGGAGGAGGGAGATACCCAATGATGGAAAACTACTAATTTCCCAGACACTGGGTGTAATTATCACAGTGGGTTATACCTCTGATGAGAGGAATTTGTAAGAAGCTGTTCAAAACCTCTCCCTTCCTCAGGAGTTTGCAAATTGGTTTGTTGTTGTGCTACATTAACACCAGAGGGCGCCGTTTGACTGCTCTAAATTTTCACATTTCCTGAAAAAGACTTTCTAGCCTCCCCCACCCAACACACACACACACACCTGAAAAAGAAAAAAAAAAGATTACTGGAACTTCCACCTACACATTTAACAAAATGCAATTTAAAATAATTCAAAAATTCAAGTGTCTCTCGCTTTTTCACTGAGGTCTAGATTGAAAAGCAGATTCCAATCCATAAATAGGGCTGCTTGTATCATTTTTAACCCAGCATCCAAACAACATGAAATCACATGGCTATTCATACATGATAGAAATTCTCTTTAGGCAGGGAAGTTTCTAGATGGTAAGAAAGAATGTAGGTCTTCGGAGCCAATTATCCTCCTTTAAATACTGGTTGGCTTTTTTTTAAAAAAAGTGGGGATAAGATCTTTGGAGGGTTTGTTCATAGAGTTTTTTGCCCTGGAGGAACATACAGCCTCCAAGAGTAAATGACAGCCACAAATCTTCAGGATCCAGAAATACTCAATTTCAAAAAAAGATACAAGGGTGAGAACATTCCAGCACATATATAGTGTAAAGTAAGATGAGGTTTCAGCTTAAACTATTTGCTGTTGTAAAAATATAAAGTTAAGTTCAGGTCAACACCTCTATGTATGTATGACTGGCAGGGGTGGTGAAGGCCTGGGTGAAGATATAGAAAATAACAATTGTTTCAATATTTTAAAGTTATTTTTGACAGGAATTTGTTTGTTTGTATTTACCTACCAAATCATGATCTATCATTTATCTTGGTGCTGGATGTTTTTTTTTTAAATGTTTTTAACGTGGTTAATTTTACAGCTTTATGTTGTTTTCACTTTTGATTGGAACCACCCAGAGTTGGACATAAGATGGAGGGATATATAAATGTTTTAAATAAATAAATACCCATGCTTCAGTACATTTTGGCCCCACAGACCCTAAAAATAAAGGTGATAGCCATGATGGATGAAAACAACTTATTAATAACATACACTGTTTTAGTTGAGGTATACATAAAAGCCACAATGAATCCTGCAGTTCATTTATTTAAAATATTTAAAAATATTTATTTATTCAAAACATTTATATACTTCTCATCTTATGTCCAGTTCTGGGTGGCTCCAAAAATGAAAAACAACATAAGAGCCATAATAAAACTGTAAAATTAACACAACATCACAGGTCTATAAGCTTTCTATTACTTAATCTTGGTTTTATGACACACTTTGCATAATGACAGAACTCTGAATTGACTGTCATTCTGAAGTTTTTTATTTAGGCTTAAAAAAATACCTTTGAGAGAAATATAAGATTTCATGTTAGCTTCTCCTTGAAATTTTATCGAATTCATTACAGAGGATGGCACTCTTGAGAAGTATTTTCTATTCAGGTTTATTTCTAAGGCAGGGGAATAAGTAAGATTTCCTTTTATTACCATGCAATCTTCAGCAAGATTCTAGTTGAGTAAAAACCCCTTACCCCCAACTTCAATTAACTGGATCACTGGGCCTCTTATAGTACCAATTTTGGTCACAGTTGACAAATTTGGCTTTCCAAGTGGCCTGTCAAACTCTGAGCAGGCCTAATTCAGTCTTTGCTGGTTACATACCTGTACAAATGCAATGCTCAGCCCTACCGCTCCAATAATTATCAAGTGTTCCTGGATAAAGTTTCCCAGCTTAGTGATACAGCCACCCTGGGAATAAAACATTGAGATGATGTTACTTTTCATACCTATCTTCTTAAACTCGTTTTACCTTCTCATGTTGTACATCACATCCTTCAAGACACAAACATATGAATGGATGAGGTAAAACACAGGTTGATACTTGTGGCAAAACTGTCATCAGCTTGAGAATCATCCCCATCTCCTGATGAGCTTTCTATACAGCCTTGTATCAAGTGGGTTTAAGAAGGTTCAATCAGGAGTATTGGGAAAGCCAAGAGAGATCATCAAAACCATAAAAAAGTGAAAGTTAGAATATTTTGGGAATGTGATGTGACACCCAGAAAAATATGGCATACTTCACTTAATCCTCCAAGAAGAGATTGAAGGCAAACGAGGTCCAGGCAGAAAAAGAACCAACATGGCTTGAAAATCTAAGGGACTGGTTTGGAGAAAACTCAACAGCACTTTTTCATGCGGCTGTTGATAAAAATAGGATCGCCAACATAATCGCCAACCTCTGATGACGGATATGGCACAAGAACAAGAAGAACCAGGAATATAACCCTAACCCTAAAAAAGTTTGATACATAATCTGGGATCAGCGAAGCCTAGCATTTCTGGAAAATATTACATTTGATGTCTTACCTGCTTCTCCCTCAGATCTTCCAAGATCTTGCAGACACAGAAACAGGATATGTGGTTGTGTATTATAATCCGAGCGTATATTCTTTTTTTACAGACAATTGGGGAATGTCTGAACATTCATTATTCATTTCATACCCATGTACTCCAGTAGTGGTATAAGATATTTATTTATTTATTTATTTATTTTATTTCATCAAGCATGTATTTTACGACAGATACAAGTATAAATATAATTATAAATACATGAAAAGGATACGAATAAAAGAAAACATTAGGACAGGGGCGGTAGGCACGCTGGTGCGCTTATGCACGCCCCTTATGTCCCATGATTTTAAAACTGAGCTAGCAAGAAACATGCTGAGACGATCTAAGGTCAGATCCTTCTTCGATCATGAAGCTGCTAGATGCCCTCAAACCCACTGGCTATTTAGCCTCATGTTTCTTACAATCTAATTCTTGCAAAGATAAAAACAAGTGATTATTTTTATGACAGGAGTCATGAATTGTCCCTTTCTACCTTCTCCTCCTTATCAATTGCCTCCCAGGGCTATACAACTGCAGCGGAATAAATTAAGTAGTATAACCCCCAAAGTAGTCTTTCTCCTTATGTTCTCAACCTATTTATGGCAGGTCAGATTCAAATACTGGCTGGAAGGAAATCTCATCAAGAGGAAATTGTTCATTATTGTTTCTAAGTCTTTGGGAACATTACTTATTTTATGGGTTGTATGGAGTTGCCCTGTTGAACATTTGGAGCAAAAATAAGCCAGTGTCTTGTGACAACTTAAAAATAGCCCATTTTATTATTACCATCATCTAAACTTTTGTGAATTGGAAGAAGTGATTTGCAATCCATGAAAGCTTATACAATAATAAACTGGCTAGTCTTTAAAATAGCCCAGCCCTGTTAGTTATTTTTTTAAATTATACAGCAGCAATGATAGAAGGAAGGTTCGCAATTTAGAAACAAAGATAAAGAGAGAGAGAGGAAATAGAGGCAGGGAAAAATATAGGGAAAATTCAGATAAATGTGATGGAATTTTCCTTCAGAAGAACCTCTTTCCCCAACATTTTAGATAAGGGGCTTTTTTAAAAAAAAGGTCCCCTGGATTCAGCAGTCAGCAATTGTGCCCTGAGGCAGAGTTTGGTCTGCCTCTGCATGACCAAAACAGCTTAGTTGCAGAAGTTATTCATGTGCCTTCATGTCCCTTAATCCTCCCCTGAGCCCCACTGAAAGGGACTGCTTCATCATCATCATCCAGCAAAGTATCCTAGAGGCTGAAAGCATCAACCAGCTCGGTGGGAAAACGGAGTTTTGCACTTAAATCAATTCTAAAGGATTGGAGTAGAAATGGGCGCTTTGAAATATATACATTTCGCTACTCTTCACACTGAAAAGCTTATATGCACAAGAAAACAGAAGAAAAATACTTTTTAGAGCGAGTTCAGTTTCAGATATTCCCATTTGTTTTCTTAATAATGAAAGTAGGTTACCACTGTTTTCTTCCAGAATGTTTCTTCCATTTCTAGCATATAGTCTTGGGCTTCCCCGTTGGTGTCCCCTTCAAGAACTAATCATACTGGCTTAGTGAAGATCAGAGAGGTGCAGCTGCCTAGCTAGGCTAAACTTCTTGGCTTCGTATGCCAAGAACTGTAGGGCCAGCTCTGTTAAGGAATATAAGTATCTATTTTGCTTATATGTTTACTTCTGTAGAACAATATAATCCAGATAAATACAAATAGTCCTTACCTACGACCACAATGGAGCCCAAAATTTCTGTTGTTAAGTGAGACATTTAAGCGAGTTTTGCCCCATTTTACAACCTTTCTTGCCACAGTTGCTAAATGAATCACTGCAGTTGATAAGTTATTAACCTGATTGTTAAGTGAATCTGGCTTCCCCATTGACTTTGCTTGTCAGAAGGTCTCAAAAGGTGAATCACATGATCTGGGGACAAAGCAACGGTCATAAATATGAACCAGTTGGCCAGCGTTTGAATGTTGATCACATCATCATGGGGATGCTGCAAAGGTCGTAACTGTGAAAAACGGTCATGTCACTTTTTTCAGTGCCGTTGTAACTTTGAACGGTCACTAAACGAACTGTCGTAAGTCACGAACTACCTGTACTGTGGTATAATTCAAGATGGAGGTTGTTATGATGTTCAAATGCATAATGACTAAGGTATGATTGATCAAAGAGTATAATCAGTCAATGGTTTCATCAGTGTTTTCTTCACACAATAACTGGAGAGGGCTCGGTTTGGTTTCTTTTTAATTTGTTTTTTTTTTTTTTTACCTCTTTGTAGATATTTGAAGGATGATCTCTTTTACCACAGGTATCAGTCATCGTCTTGCAGCAGCTATCCGGGACCTTCCTTCCTTCTTTTTCAACTTTGTACCAATAGCTGTCACTCCAGTCTGTGTAATTATGACTGCCGCAGCACTTGAACTGAAAAACACAAGCAATAAGACATTATGAGAAAACCAAAATTGCATGACGTATTAGCCAAAATTACAAAATTACGTGTCCTGTCTTTAACAACACGTCCTTCAAGTATGCACAACTTGTGGCCACTTTTCATAAAAAGGTCACTACATAACAACCCACCAGCCAGAAAACAAAACAAACATGTTTTGTTTTTAAGTTTCTTGTTGCCATTATGTAGTTACAAGACTATGCATCTCTTCCCACGAGTCCACTTTGTTTCTGGAAGCTTACAATGTCTCTTTTCAGTTTCGGAGCGAGAAAAATGTGTATCAGTACCGTTTAGGAATCCAATGTTTTTCCCCAAAAAAAGAAAAAGTACTTTCTAAAAAAAAAAATTGCCCTGAAGTCAATCCCCTTCACCTCCTTTTGCAAATGCTGTTCTATTAAAAATAGAATTGTTATTATTCTAAAGCCCTACATGCCTTGGGATCCATGAGGGATCACCTTTTTCCAAGAGTCTCTACCAACTAAGTCAAGCAGAATGTACATATGCTGCAGTCAATCAAAGAAGGTTGGCTGATGGGGACTAGAAGATGGGCTTTTTCCTCAGTGGCCCCTGCTCTACGGAGCATCGACCCTTCGGAGATCAGAATGGCCCCAGCCCTGTTAGTCTTTCATAAGGCCTTAAAAACCTGGCTATGTTTCAAAGCCTGGGGTGCTGAATGTGTCAAGGGCTCCATTTCCTGGCTATATTGCTAACAGGCCAAATAGCTTGCTCTAGTGTATCTTGAATTGGAGGTTCTCAGTGGCTAAGACACTGAGCTTGTCGATCGAAAGGTCGGCAGTTCAGCGGTTCGAATCCCTAGTGCCGCATAACGGGGTGAGCTCCCGTTACTTGTCCCAGCTTCTGCCAACCTAGCAGTTCGAAAGTATGTAAAAATGCAAGTAGAAAAATAGGGACCACCTTTGGTGGGAAGGTAAGAATGTTCCGTGCCCCTTTGGCGTTTAGTCATGCCAGCCACATGACCACGGAGACGCCTTTGGACAGCGCTGGCTCTTCGGCTTTGAAACGGAGATGAGCACCGCCCCCTAGAGTCGGGAACGACTAGCACATATGTGCGAGGGGAACCTTTACCTTTACCTTACTGTTTTTATTGCTTTAAAATGTTTTTTAAATGTTTAATTGTAGTATATTTTCTGAACTCTAATCGCCCAGTGACTAAAAAGAGAGGCCACAGAAATTGAACAAACAAACAAACAAACAAATAAATAAACTCCATCTCAGAGAGATATAGACTGGACCACCTTCTGGCACTGAATGCTATAGAGGAATACCTGGAACTAATGAAGCCTTGAGCTTGATACAAATACTGAATATTAACACTCTTTCAGCAGTGTTGGAAGATATTAGCTCCTACTGTTAAATATAAAGCCAGGCTTGGTTGTGCCACTTTTGCTTCATATCCATGGGCATATGCTGGCCTCCATTAGTTTGTTCAATCAATGAATAAATCACTGTAGTTGTTTTCACTATATCAAGCTACACTCCCTGAAGTGGATGATATACCAGCTGGGTGTGGAAGAATCATTGCTGAAAAATGCAATTCCCTGTAGAGACATGGCATGCTCAAGCATTTCTGTTCAATTACGGTCAAAAGGAGTCTCCTCCCTTCCTTGTACAGTCTTTTTCCATCTGATATCATGATTACACAGAAGTATCCCAAGGTTCCAGTTTGTGGCATGAATCCAGAATATATATATGTACTGTATTATCTCTGAGCAGCTTATTCCCTGTGCTATTATACTGTTAGGCAGCAATCTCACGCATGTTGGGAAGTTAATTTAAATGCAGCTGGATTTATTTCTGAACAGTTTGGAACATGTGCTGAGTGAACGCTCTACTATCACACACTCTCTCTGCCCTACTGCCCAACGGCAGAACCTTTCATTCACTGCAAATATTCTAAGGATAGATGTTAGGATGATGTTCCTGTTTAGACTTGGCATACCGGTGGCTTATAGCAACACACTTTCACAAATGTTGAAATAAAATAGAGTGATTTTATAAACTGAAGAGCAGAAATGGCCATTTTCCTAGCAGCAGTTTATAAAAATAAAGAAGATGAATAGAATTTCCCACCAGTTGGGAAAATGCCCTCAATCTTGTCCTTTCGAATGAATTACTCAGTATGTTCCCAAATCTTACTCGCCGTACCTTAAAGTGTCTAGCAACGTCCAATATGATCATCTAAATTCTAAGATAACCAGACATATTGATCTGAAGCCCAGCTGCACTGGTCAAAAGAAGATGAAGCACATCCCCTTCACTCTCTGAGGGAACTGTGCTCCTCTGTTAATTACATTTTATGCCATGCCTCTCTGTAACTGGAGATTAATAGCTTCAAGAAAAATACTTGACAATCAGGAAGTGATTTACCACTTTTACTCAACAAAGACCCATCTGTTTTTTTTCTAATTTTCTCATGCTACAAGACTATTAAATGGTTGAGGGCGGAAATAAGAACTGGAGAGGTATTCCAATGACCTGATCATTAAATAGGACCAGCAGATTATTTTTCCCAGCTACTTTTGTGCCACTCCTTTGGGATCTGCTGTTTCATGCATGAGGCAAGAGTGCTAAAAATACACAGGCTTTATTGGACCAGGGAAAGTCAACACAGAATGGAAGGCATGGGAAAGTTATCTATGTGTGATGCATTTACAAGTGCCTTGCCCTTATAAAATATAATTTAAACACAGTTATTTGGCAGAAATGCAGGCCCCTTCAGATGTTACTTGCAGTGGGCCTACAGCTACCTCTTTTCAAATGTGCACCTACATTCTGGGTAAGCATTCTGGGTCGATTGGCAGTAGTCAAATCCATCGGTACTTATTTGAGTAGTGCTATTGGGCTTCATTTGATTAATTCTTTCATCCACAGCTTTCTTGAAAGGAAGGAATGACTTTTGACTTTTGTTCAAAGAAAATCCCCAGGGATGAGTGGGATCAATATTCTGGCCAAAAACAACTGCAGGCTAATTTTGAAAGTATCTGCATGAATAAAAATGGACCCAGAAAACATGCCTCAAAGATACCACAGTCTGAAGATAGGGGGAAAGAGCTATTTTATTTTCTGCCATGATTGTCAGAGAGATAAAAAATAAATAAATAAATAAATAAACATACATACATACATACATAAATTCAGCTTTTCCCATTTCTTCCCCTAGATCTTAATCTGTATTAATCTCTTAATCTTAATCTCTTAAACATACCTCCTGCTGAAGTTTGTCCACCGCATTAGTCACACTCTCTTCTCCTTTTTTCCGATACTTCTTGATTATCGTGTTTCTCAGATTTTCCTTCAGCTCGTGGTTCAGCTATATAGAACAGGACATCAACAATGGGGACAGACATAAGATATAGCAATATGGTTCTTCAACCCAGTTCCCTGTGTAACAATTACCAACTATTCTGAGAGAATTTTCATGTAATACAAAATGGCTCCCAGAACTTGGAAGTCCAATTTGGCAAATATAAATTTGGCAAACTGAGCAAGGTGGATAGCTTGAAATGCTGCACAAACTGAATGCTCTAGAACAGGCTTCTTGAACAAGTGTCAGACAAAAACTTGGACAATAGTTCCCACCATCCCCTACCCAACATGATCATTGGAGAAGGCTACTCAAGGTCTCTTCCAGCTTCTGAAGAAATGCTCATTGAATGTGTCAATATGTCCTGCTCCTGTTTCTTTTTTAATATATTGCAGGACAGCTCTGATCTTTCCTGCACATCCTACCTCATGCTTTGCAAACCAAGTAAGACAAAGCACTTAACTTGGTTAGAACTCTAGAACTGAAACAGTTTTAAGACCCAGTGCTCTTGGTTGCCTGGATTTACTTTTAGAAGTATATTGTTGGCACTGAGAGCTACAAGCCCTTATTCAAATGATTCCCCTGAAAGAAATGACACCTGAAAGAAAACAGCACTACCTTATATGTTGGAAGCAAAGAATGGTTTCATCTAACGGAGAACCAGTAACTCATCAAGTTGAACAAGACCCATTATTTTTATTAACCCTGTCAGCCAAGGTAATTTTAACTATAGACGTCAACTGCCCAATCTACAACTTTGCTGTCTAAACTAGTACACTGTTATGCAAGCATTTGTGGAGAGAAGCGTATCTGGAAAAAAGCCAAGGTCAAGATTTTGCATCATCAACTCAGCAATAAGCCTTAAACCCCACTTGTCCAATCAGATAGCATATCATCTTGGCTATGTCCAGATCACATTTTTATTTGGAAACCAAAGGTTGTGAAGTTTTAGAGCAGAAAAATCAGGAAAAAAATTGCAAAACAGAATAGCTTAATAATGCTAGAAGAAAACATTTTAAAAGCCCCTCCATTAATCCATGCCATGCAGAAAAACAAAAGCCGGTTTACCTGTGGGTTGATAGGGGAAAACTGCAGCATCAGAAAGAGGCAGCAAAAATAAACACACACACACAGAGTTTATAGGCATTTTGGAAGAAAGCGCCAGCGAGGGAAGAAATACAAAAGGCAACACAAAAGACCAATTCCTTGAGTCTTTGAGAGGACAGAAAGTTTGCCAAAGAAAAACTAGCAGAGGGAGAAAATGAAGCTTACAAAACCAAGATGATTCCCACATTAAAAATCCCCAAAGACTGAAGATCTCAACATGCCATGCCTTCTCCCCTTTCCCTGCCCCCATCATCAATGCTTGCCATGCATTCCTTTAGCTTCCAGTCCATTTTCACATACAGGTAATACCTCAGATTCTGCAACCTGCAAACTTCACAAGGGATGGGATCAGGATTTTCTAGTGATTCTAGCACTACTGCATTTTATTTCACTAGCATTCAGCCTACTTATCTTTTCAACACCTGACATTTTAATGCTGCTAATCCCTTATAAATCATAGGATTTTTATAATCCATATTTGAATTATATTAGAACCTAATGTGACAGTTCAGAGTCCTAAAACAAGCCATGGCCAAATTATTAAGCACCTACAGGTGGCAAACCTCCATGCTTTTCCACCTGACCTGATCCACTGCACTGCACTGCATTTGCTGGAAAAAGCTAATGTGGAATTGTGTAATTTGTGATTTAGTATGCTGCGGAAACCTGAACATTTGTGTTAGCTTGCCCAAATTAGTTTATTAGTTTGGGCACAGCTTGTTACACAAGCAAAGACACCAGGCAAACAGGATTTAGATTGTTGTGTGAACCAAAATGATTGCGTCAGGTCTTCTGTTCAGGTCACATTCAGGTTAAGGCTGGTTTATTTCTTAAGTAGTAAAACTGTTGCAAACTCACTCTCTGGGATGCCAAAAAACCCACTATTGATTAGATCAGCAGTCTCTACATTTATTATGAAAACATGCACGAATCAGGACAATATTAAAAATGAAGTGAGTTTCACAGACATCCATCTCTGGGATTCTATGTACTTGCAGTTGAATGTGGATATTGCAAAATATATAATGAGACACTTAGGAGTTTAAAAACAGATCTAGGTGTCACCCATTCACATCTTCATTCCTCCCTGTTTCTTAGCTCTCTGGGCTTAGTATAGACCATGTGAATAGTCAAGAGATATTGCAGTGACAATCACCTTTTGTTAGTAATAAGATAAAGTGTTAAGAACTATAGAATCAAATGGATGGTTAGTTATTCCATTTTATATTATAGCATCAAAAGAGAAGAGAACAAGGCAATGTACATTCCAATATTTGCATTCCAAGCACAGATGCAGTAAGCAGAATATTCTCCTAGATGGTATTCTCACAATTCATGAAAATGGCTTCAGACCAACTCATTCCTGATCAATTTCATGTTATATTAAATTGGCCAATGGTGCATTGGTTAGAATGAAGCATTTGCAGGCTGGCTCTGCCCACTGCCAGGAGTTCGATCCTGACCAGCTCAAAGCTGACTCAGTTTTCCATCCTTCTGAGGACCCAGATTGTTGGGGGGAATATGCTAACTCTGCAAACCGCATGGAGAGTGCTGTAAAACACTATGAAGTGGTATGTAAGTCTAAGTCTAAGTGCTATTGCTATTGTGGAATAGGATGATGCAACTGCATGTCAGAAGCTTAATTTGGTGCTGGGTTTTTGTTTTTAATGTTTATAGTTTTAATATGGTCTTAATGTTGTTTTATTATTGATACTGTTTTAATTCTCGATTGGAAGCCTACCAGAATTTGATATAAGATGGGCAGCTATGTAAATAGTTTAAATAATAAATGGATCTGGTGGTAAGGATCTTCCCAGGTGTGTGCATGGGTGAACTACTGAAATGCTCTAAATCATTTAGAGCAACGTTTTACGCTCCTGGTTTACTAAAATTTACTGCATCGTAAAAGTTGCCTTACTTGGGCCAATGGCTGTACATCAATGCCTGCATATGAGTTTTATAATCAAATGCATTTTTATTGTAGCACTGGAACAAAGCTAATGAAAGAAGTGTTTGCACTACAGTTTCAAATCATAGCATGGCCCTTGAGACACACTGAGTGCCCAGATGCCAATCCCTTGTTCATTGTAGGTTTGCACAAATCTGTAGCCTAGGAGGTTCTATGCATAACAGATGGGCTTACAGGGTTTTGTGGAAAGAAGCCAAAAAGCCCCATGACTACCACTGTCACAGTAGTGCTGGCTCACAGTAGACAAGAATGAGTAGATCTCTGTAGACAAATATTCATTGTGTTGAGAAGACCTGCAGGGAATGAAATGTAGCCTGTTTACCGATCACCCCCTTTTCTCTTGTTACCTACCTGCTGGTAATAGACACAGGCCAGGATTCCAGCAATTATCTCAAGCAGGAAGATGCAGAGTAGTAGTACAAAATACTAAAGAAACAAAATGAACAAAGAAGTTAAAGCAGAGCATTGTACACTATGAGATTTACTTTGCCTATAAAAATATAGCATTGACAAAACAAGCAGACTTAGCTACCTAACATTGAAGACAAAGCAGAGGCAAAGCAGGGAAACAGTAACAGGCATGATGCCCTCCTGGCCAAGAGGAACTGGATTTGGAGGTTGCTCCTGATTTGGGGGCTTATCAGCCAACTGCTCTATCTAGGAGTGGAAGAATGGCTTTCAACTTTCAGAGCTAGTTATTTTATGAAATGCTCAGAACAAGTTGCACAAAGTACACCTTACTCAGAAGTGGAACAAGCATCCGCCTTGTCTAGAAGGTAGCTTTCTTGATACATTATTTGATAGCTTTCTTGATAAATTAAGGGGGAAGACAAAAACAGGTCTTCGCTGCCGTATAAATTCACCAAAATGAGATTTGTTTGGTTTAGCACATTTCAAAATTACAGCCCTTGTGCTTTATAAATCATAATTAACTAAAGCATGGCTTTTGACATTAAACCTTTGTCTACTGTGTGGCAATGGGTTTCCAAAATAATAGGTGAGAGTTCATTTGCAGCCCTGCTAGCCAAGATCCTTTCAATGAGTCTGGGGACCGATCTGTAGAATTTCTGTGTGTAAAGCATGTGCTCTACCACTAAATTATATTCCCTTACCCATTGCTTTCACAGCTGTGACTCCTACGCCTCTTGCCAATACTACTTGTTTTGAAATGCAACCCCTCCAGCTGACATCAGTAAAAACTCATCACAAGCTTGTTAGATGATGGTGGAATGCTTAATTGCTCAGGGCAGAAAACATTTTGAAATAGCTGAGCTTCTTGTGGCTCCTAACAGTACCGAAAGTCAACAAAATGTAGGCAAGCACTTTGGGATGAATTATCAGCTGTGAATTTCACAAAAGAATAAAGGAGATAAACTTTTTTTTATTTTAAAGATCCACTACTTAGCAATCTCTAAAAACATTCAGAACAGAGTAACACTAACTCTGATGTGAGGCTTAAAACTGGTCATGTAGACATCTCCAACAGGCACACCAGAAAAAGGGACAAATTGAGAAGTCAGGGAACAAGCAACTACATGACTTTGACTCAAAAGGGCAAGAGGAACAGGCCCAGGATATAAAACTAGAGACTAAAAGAAAGAGGAAGAAAGAGAGGACCAAATTTGAAAGTGCTGCTATACAGATAACTTCTTCATATTTATGAGTTCCTAATCTTCTGAAATAAATCTGCTTACCCAACTTCTCTTTGCTTGGGAATGTGGAGTTAGGAGGGAGTTTAACTGCCATACCTCGTATAAAGTCCCCCCCCCCTCACTCATAGGTATACGACTGATCCCGGACCTCCGAACCTTTCGCCGGGCTCTGAAAACGTTCCTATTTCGGCAAGCCGGGCTGGCTTAAAATTTTTTATTGGTGAATTTTATGGGTAAGGGGTTTTAAATTGGGGAAAGCCATTAGGGATTTAATTTTGTTTTAAATGTATTTTAATGTTTATACTGTATGTTTTTTAATTTTGGCTGTTCACCGCCCCGAGTCTTTCGGGAGAGGGGGCGGTATAAAAATTTTAAAAATAAATAAATAAATAATAAATAGGATAAAGCTATGGCTACAGATCTGGGGATCAGAAGAATCACTTGCTCTAGTATCAGTATTAAGGTGCAGTCCAGTTAATCAAGACAATGAACCAATTCTAGCCCAACAGGTGGCAAGGAATTTGCCACAATAGTAGCTCTAGTCACGCTTCCTGCTCAAATCCTCATAAACTGTTGCTGCTAAAGTAGCCCTCTGAAGTCAAACTTCTGCTACTCTGCCTGAAAGGAAGAACAACTGAGCAGGTTCATTACCTTCCTGTAGTAATTACCCATTGCTTTGAGGGTTTTCCCATCAACCCTTTTCAGGATTTATAATTGACATGATGGCTAAGAGACCAACAAAACCAGCTATCTTATCCCCACACCAGGCTTAGACATCTCCAATTTATGACATTCTTGGGAGCTATGCTCAACAATCCTGTCAAACATATGTACAGTATACTTACTCAATTCATGCCTCTACAGATTTGTCATTTCAGACCACTTACACTTATCACTCATGACTGCTCCCTGTTGCTTTTTGGCTGTCTTCTACCAGAGCTCTCACGTTTACTCCAGGACATGTAAACTGCTCAGGGCCTCTTCAGGGATTCCTCAGGCCATTCAAGGCCTATTACAAGCACTCCAACTGTCACCATCAGGGACTCTCCACACTGCTAGCAATATTTCTTCCCTCCACATGAACATCTAAAAAGTTGGATCCAGGTTGATGGACCATTTCCCATTCCTGTATATTCTTTTGCCTTTGGTCTATAGCTTCCCCACATTCAGAAGATATGTCTTGCTTTCCATCCTCTGTTCTGGAATGCCTCCCTTGCTCCCTATGCCAGTCTGTTCTATCACCTCCATCTCAATGGCAGGGAGGACGAATTTACAACAGAACAGACTTCCAATTTAGGAAGGGCAATCTGGAATATCTATTCACTGAAATAGTTTGCACCTATCAAAGCATGAACAGTTGCATTTGCAGCATTACAGGAAACCCAAACTTTCTGATGGGCTGCACATTCTGACTGGCTCTGGGTTGACTCTGAATGTAAAGGGAAATTGCCTGGGAGGGGAGATTGATATTACAGTAAGAACCTCATATAGGTGGGTGAGGGAGAGTTTGGGAATTGAGGAATGTGGAAGAAAAATGGGAGACTTTGGGAATGGGGGAATGTCTCACAGAATGGTAGATCAGTTCCATTCAAAGAATGGACATTCCCTTTATCCCTGAGATCTCTAACTAAGTGGAGGAAGAGGTTAACTAAAAGAACTGAGGAGGTGAAGTTTTTTTTAATAAGTCTAACTGTAAAAGAAATGCAAATCCCCTGGCCTGAAATGCCCAACTTAAAAGAAACAAAGGAGAAGGTAGAAGGGAAACTTTGTCAGTTCCAACTGAAAAAAAACAACAATGGAGGTGAAGGAAGGACGTCCTCCAGTTCCCCCAAATCAGAAGAAAGCATCCACAGGGTCAGGTGACAGGAAAGGTAGAAACAGAGGTAGTATAAAGATAAAGTTGATGAGATGAAAATCTTTTATTCTTATAGTGTCAGCACTTCATCCAAGGCTCAACCATAAATCTCCCTCAAGGAACTCAGATCCACATTCAAGAATTAGCAGGACAAGGCAACATACATTGATGTTATTGTAGAAACAAGTATCCCTAATAACAAGGAAGTTCAGTTATCGCCAATCAAGCAATCAAGCTCTCTATTTAATAACATCGTATAGATCGAATTATTAAACCTCCCCCATCTTACACAATAATGGACCTGCTTATTCATTATATCATGTATGCTGATCTCAGTGTCTTTGCTTCTGGTCATCAGCCTGCACATTTGCCACAGCAAGTCCTTTAGCTAAACAGGGGTAAATAGTCAAGAATTCAAAGTCAGGAATTGAGCAAACATGGCCTTTGACTCAGAAATTCAAGAGGAGAAGGCCAGGTCTTAAATTTGAGGACTAACATATAAAGAAGGCAGGACTTGAGGGCACTGTTAGACTAAAAACTTCTTCGCATTTATGGCTTTTTTGCTATTTATCCAGCCTTCTTGCATTTGCTTGAAATGCACAGTAGGGAGTAAGATTTAATGACGGCGTCTACTGTGATGCTTTGACAATTGGAATGCTTCATGTTCCAGATACCATAACACATTGCACCACTGAATCTATTATAACTTGCTTTTAATTAAGCATATAGTTAACTCTGATTAATTTAAATAAAACTTGGATTCAAATGTTCAAAGGACTGCTACCAGCTTTATTCATCCTTCCATATATAAGCAATGCTTTGGATTCTGGATACTGAATAGTCTTTCACAGAGAGTTTAGGGAAGATAAAACGCAGTTCTTTTAAGAAAACAGATTTAATGCCACAAAATGTGAACAATCTCCCAGAGGGAAGCAATTCGGAGACGTATTAGAGCAGATTACTTCTTATTCTGCAATGATGGTACTCTTTTTGTAGCTCAATTTCTAACATTGTTGGTCCAAACAATTTGCTGCCTAAAGCAAAGGACAAAGTAACAACAACCTACATTCATTTCTTTACATACAGAGCTGTCTGGACAGCTGGCTAAATTCAACACTAGAGATGGATGAACTTCCTCTTACTGCACTATAAGGCAGTAGAGTAATTTAGAAATAAAAGAGTGGACTTAATGAGATACACATCTTTGTCTTTCAACACACTCTAGTTCCTAGTTTCTCATTTTGCCTAGTAGTACAGCTAGCCCTCATCTCAACAATTCGGCCACTAAAGAAAACAGACAACTCAACTATGACACATTGGTGGTACTACTGCTGCATGTCTCACATTTCCTGGAGCCTCCTGCTTCAACAGTGGGAACCCACAGCATGCCCAGTATGTCTGATTTGATGCTGGACCACTTATATCAACCAAAAGTGACCTGCTATGTGTAGCACCTCTAGGATAAAAACAGCCTGGGAAGAATTGCCCATGTGCTGACATCTTCAAGTTAGATTACTGCAGTAGATTATACATGAAGTCATTCTTGCTAAATACTCAAGAATTGAAGTTTGTTGTGAGGTAGAACTGGGACACTAGAATGTCTGTCTTCTGGCAGCAGAGACAAAGCTCCAATGGTTTCTAGTTTGACCCTGGACAAAATTCAAATTGCTGATACTTATCCTTCAATCCCCTCATAACTTCCATCTGCCCTCTGCTATTTTAACCTGTCTTGGCTCCTAAATTACATCCAGATCCCCTTGCCTTAAAAAGAAAATCAGATTCTGATGGAAGCAAGTATCCTTCACTGGCTAGCCACGTCCAGTTCCTGCAACCGTTCATCGTATGTTTTAGCCTCCAGTCCCCTAATATTATTTGAGCATTTAATATTTCATCCAGTATTAAATGACAATACTAATTTAAGCTTAATATTTTTATTTCATATGTATTTTATGACTAAGCACAACAGATTTATTTTTCTCCATTGCACTCACAATGTGAGGCTAGCTGAGTTATGAACAAAATCATCCCAAAGTCACCCAATGAGCTACTGTGGCTAAGGGAAGACTAGATCCTCAGTCTCCCCACATCTAGTCCAGTATCTTAGCCATCTCCCTATACTGGCTCTTAAGTGTTATATGCTATGTTGTTTTAAGATAATGGACTTCATTAAAAAATATTACGAAACAGTTGTGTTGGTTATTGTAGTTGTTGCAGTGTTTCTTAATTTCCTCTTAGTTTCTAATTTTATTCTGGCTAATTTTATCTGGGGGAGGTTCCACCCTTTAATTTATACATTGCTCCATACTAGTAGTAAACACAATTGAAGACTAAAACCTAAACACATTTATTCAGTTAAATACCTTGTTTCCCCGAAAATAAGATCCTGTCTTATATTTTTTTGAACCCCAAAATAAGCGCTTGGCCTTATTTTCAGGGAAGTCTTATTTTGGGGCGTGAGGGGCAAGACGGGGGTCCTTCGCTGTCTTACCTGATTTCCAGCTCTGTCTCCCTAACCAGATGAAATGGCGGGGCCAGCTGTGCATGCATTTAAATATTTTCGGGGAGGGCTTATTTTCAGAGGGTGCTTATTTTAGTGCATGCACTCAAAAGCCCGATTGGGGATTTTTATTTTCGGGGAAACAGGGTAATAAACCTCAAACTTTTTTTTTTTTTTTTTTGCTCTTGGCTGATCTCAGCCCTTCACATCCCACAAAGTTTGTTGAAGCCTTGACCATCTGTGTGCTGGACAAGATGTCCTTTCATACACAGGCACGAGTAAACAAAGAGAGAGCTAGCTAACTCAAGACTGGACTTCATACTAAAAGGAGTTGCAAATAGAACAAAAACACGCCTTAACCCACAGGTCACTTTTGGAAACAGAATAAGTAATGTTACTGACGTCATCCTTCTAGCAGCTGAGATCTTTAAAAAAGAAACAACTCGCCAATGAGCTAGAAAACTGATTCTTATGCTTGTATTCCTGCAGTTCTCCTCCTCTGATGTACACATATGGCCCAATTAAATTATATTTTTCTTTCCATTAAGAGATGATTAGAGCCAATGGTTCCCAAATTGAACAGGACACAGCTGTTTCTTTTGTAGAACATCAAAGGTCAGTAATGCTCTTCTCAAATGTGATGCCTTCTAAACATGTTGACCGAGAACTGTGATCATCCTCTGCCAGCAGGAGAAAGACTGATCTATAGAATCACAACAAATCCTTGTCAGTTGTGATCTAGCAATTGACATAGTAGGAATTGAGATCTGCATCTGGCACTTGCAGATATCTCTCTACTGTTTGCTAGCCTTCTTGCTGTACGCTAGATTTTACTTTTGATATTTTTAAAAATAATATTTAAATAGAATTTTTAAAAGGAAGCCAGCAAGTTGTAAAGTACAATTCTCTTTTTTGCAAGAACAGACTTGGGTCTACAAAAGCCCCAAGTATTTTTTAAAACAAACAAACAAACTGATTCTAGAGTTAGTTTGGTATAGTAGTTAAGGCACCAAGTTAGAAAGCAGAAGACTGAGTTCTAGTTCTGCTTTAGACACAAGACAAGTTGGTGACCTTGAGCCAGTCATTTTCTCTCAGCCCTAGAAAGGAGGTAATGGCAAACCACTTCTGAAAAACTTTGCCAAGAAAATTGCAGGGATTAATCCAGGCAATCTCCCGGTGTTAATACTGACCAGAAGGTGTGTACGCACGCACACAGACACACAAACCTGACTGTAACCCAATCTTTGTCAACTCCCTCCCAGAAAATACCAACATCACACTCTATTATGAATGCTTAAATGTGGATGACAATTTATCAAAGTTAAAACTGACAGAGGGAAAAATATGGGAAAAAATTCCATCAGGTCATTATTGAGGTGAGCTAGAAGGGAGGAAGAATGCCTATCAATAGGTTTAAGTTTTGCAGCGGGAGAATTTTGAGTTTATTTTGAACTTACAGATATGAGGAACATGCCTAATATCACTAAGATGCAAGTCGAAACTTAGTCATTGTGGCCATTAAAAGAGTTGCCAACCCATTTTATAGGGATCATAAAGACTTCCCCCTCAACAGTCTGCTCTTGGACTGGCAACAAGTGACTTACACAGCAATTGGGAGGGGGACAGGAGAAGAAATGGAGTGGATTCATCATCAGAGGTAAAGGAAGAAAATGTATTTTGAAGTCTGTGCCTTTTTTCCAAGGCATTTGATACCAGATTTGAATCATTAAGCCCACAAGAGACCCACTCATCCTTTGATGTTCACTCATCACTGTGGGCCATCATATCCATTCATCTTAATGTTCAATAAGAAAGAAATGGGAATATACAAGTGCACAGCTCTTTATTCTAATCACAGAGATGCTTGAAATATGGGCTGAGCTCAGACTTGGCAGAAACAGCTGAAGCCAAAGCCAGCCAGGCCAAATGAACTGCTGGCCCCAAATCAGGAGACAATCGACCTGTCACAGCCAGCCACTTAGAGCAGAAAATGCAGAAACAAACAGCTCTTTTCTTCCCCAAAAGAGAAGTATTAGTTTTCTATGGCAAAACAACCTAAAAGACTGTACCAACTTTTAATCTGTAATTTTTGGCTTTGGGGAAGAGAAACAAACAGGGATAATTTTCCAACACAGGGAGTTCTTGTGTGCAGCCAGAATGGAATGGCCTGGCTTGCAAACCATGTCCAACACCAACATCTTCTGAAGCTGCTAGAAGAACTTCAAAAATATCCTCAAGGGTGACTTGATCTTTAAACTATAACAACCTTTCCCCCAACATGGCACCCTCCAAATGCTTTGGGCCAAAGCTCTCAGAATACCTCTCTTTTGCCCTGCTCTTTGTCATATCATATGTAAAGGAAAAGGACAGCAACACAACCAATTTGGTACATTTTTTTTCTGTTTTTTTCTCTATCAAAAAAAGATGCTAGTTTTTCCCACCGAATAATTTTGCTGGAGCAAAACTGATCTGTATTTTGCTGTTCCATATTTAGAATTTCCTATAATATATGAACTAAAATAAACTAACACAGAAACAGTAGTTGTTTTTTCGAGCTGTCCCAAATCTGGGTTTCTTTTCTAATTTAGCTTGCCCTTCGTCTGACTAAACACGTTCCCCTTCGCTTTCTGAGTTCCAGATGTAGTCCATTTAAATAAGAGAAACTCACCACTTTCAGCAGGCTCCGTTGCTCCCTGAAGGTTGCACAGCAACCCAATATGCCAGTAATCATGACAACAGCACCTGCCACCACCAGAATGTAGGCTGTTGCCAGGTATATATTGGACTGCAAGAGACTAATGTAGTCACTCTTCTCAGCTAGGGTCCAGATGCCCACTGCCATCACAGCTCCGCCTGCCAGCTAAAGAGGGACAGACAAACACATACAGGATGAGTGAAAGGTATCTGCATTCAAATGTCCCAGAACCACCTTGTCCAATTTTCTTCAAACTGGTGTCATCCACATGCACTGGACTGTGTCTAGAAATTGTGAGTATTATAGCACAGCTTATTTCAACCTTGGCAACTTTAAGAGATGTAGATTTGAATTCCCGGAATATGTCTAAGCATTTTTTTTCACTTTCACTTTTCTCTGGGTTATATGATTAGGAATTTATCCAATCAAGAAATCAAAACTAAGCATTTTGTAAAGAGCTTAGAATGCCTGGCAAAGGCAATAATGTTTCTTGGTGAATATAAAAGGACATAAACCTCAATTTAGGAAACTGTATCTGAACCATACAAGCACAGAAACAATTCATTACATAGCCTGAACACAAAAACCCCATATATTTGTGTTTCAAGGACCTTCCAATATGTTATCTCCTAAATGTTATCTCGGACCCCATTATTAAGCTTTTAAAACTCTTTTGGTGGGCTTCCAGGCTATGCAGCATGGAGTTCAAACAAGGAAAAAAGAAGGTAACTCCTAATCCAGTGCAGGGATTTAAACCAGTGACTTAAGTTCAGGGGGAAAAAATTATCTTCTGTACAAATGAAAGTTTCAGATGCCACCTTCCTCAATCACCAATTACTTGTCATTTTTAGAAAATTGCAGCCCTCTGAGTAGAAAAGGTACATACACGCTAAGGCAAATAATTGCCTGAATGCCTTATCTCAGTCATTCTTAAAAACGGAGTAAAGGCAGATAGATATCATGGGGTTTTTTTTGGTTTTTTTTAATTTGATTTATATGCCGCTCTTCTCCGGAGACTCCAGAGACTCAGAGCGGCTTACAATGCGTTAAGCAATTTATTAGATTTATGTCACCTTTCCTCCAAAGCAGGAGTGTCAAACTCAAGGCCTGGGGAGCCGGAGCCGGCCTGCGGGGTACTTAGATCTGGCCTGTGGGGCCACCCTGGAAACAACAAAGGACTGGCCTGTGGTGCTTCTGCTAGTGAAAACAGGCTCCCGAGCTCCATTTTCGGCTGCCAGAGCATTCGGGCCTCCACAGGCGCCCTCGACAGGGGTGACATGGAGCTGGCCACACCTACCCTGGCCATGCCCATCCCACCCCCGAGGTCAAACACAACCCTGATGCGGCCCTGAAGGAAATCGAGTTTGACACCCCTGCTCTAAAGGCTCAAGGCAACATACGTAACTCCCTCCTTCCATTTCTTTTTCAATAGCAGCAGCCTTATGATCCAAGCGGAGATGGCTGAGAGTGGACTTGGACCTGAGTCTTTGCAATCCAAATCTAAAACTCTAACCCACAGTACTACATTAGATTAACTTTAATTACGCTTCCCTCCCCTCCCAAAAAACCCCCTAGATTTACAGCATGATGCAGGAAAGTACCCCAAATAGCAGTTCCTTACCCAGAAGAAGAAGTTGAAGATGAACAGCAGGTATTTGAGACAGATGGTCATACATGTCTCCTTGCTTTCACTGTATTCACGCATGGTCACAAATCAACAGAACTGTAAAGGAAGAAGAAAGCAAAACATCAAACCCATGAAGAAGCCTTTCTTTCTGTGTTTTATTTTGTGCAAGCATGATCATTCTGCATTTCTCTACACAATGACAACCCAGCTGGCATGGCTGCAATACACCATACAGGAAATATGATAGGGAAAGAATGCAGAGCATGCTTGTGGGACTCTTTTACCGACAGTGACCATAGGGAGGGTCTGCATTTCCTTCTATAACAAAATAATACAGTGCGTTGTGTGTACGTTTCTGCTCTCCTCTTCTATTGTTTCTGCATACGTTTGTGTTATGCTGGAAATTGCAGGTACTCAAACACATTAACAAGAGACAGGCAGACTCAGGATCAACCGCATGGCAACCAGTGGTGGGATCCTGCCAGGTTAACAACCAGTTCGGTGATTGCTGTGCACACGTGCACAACTTTACGAAAACTTACTTTTCACGTTACTGCTGGGGAGTAACACAGCTGAGGTGTGGCAATCCGCTCTGCTGTGCAAATCAGCTGAAAAGATATAAGTCAGTATAGCGCAGAGGCAGACGGGCGGACAAACCTGATCATTGGAGCGAACCAGTTTGCTCCCAGCTGATCGTCGGAGCTACCGGTTCACCTGAACCGATAGAATCCCACCCCAATGGCAACCTTTCACTGATGGTCTCCTGTGGGTACAGTTTTCTCTAAAGGAAGCCAAATTAAAACTCCGTTTCCAAGTTTTATGCCTTTCTCCACTTTGAAACTCCCTTTCCAAGTTTTATGCCTTTCTCCACTTTGGCCATGATGAGGGCTGAGAGTTCTGTCACAGGTTTTAGTAAATTATGACCAGCATCCTGAATTCTTACCAGAAGGCTATATACACACAAGTGAGAGAAAGAGAGCAAATGTATAAGAATGTGCTCTCTTAGGTTTCAATAAAGGAGAATATTTGTAGTTCAGGGTTGAAATAAAAGGTTCTTCGGATTCTCTGAGTTTGCTTGTTTTCCTGCAGATGTTTTATTACCCTAACTAGGTAATATCACTAGCACTGATAGTGTTACCTAATTAGAATAATGAAACGTCTGCAAAAAAACAAGCAAGTTCACAGAGCATCAAGGACCCCTTTACATGGGTGTTTCAAGTTAAAGAGGCACTCTGGATTGAATATAAATAGGAGTTTGCACTACAACCCCCCCCCCCCAGTTTTGGTCTCTCACATTTAGAAAGCTCTTCCATCTCCCCAGGACATGGGACATTTTTCTGGAGAAAAAAATGGGAATGCTTTCATCTCTACTCCAATCAGTTCCTTTTGCCCAACTGCACAAGCAGAGAGCAAATGATTTTTCTCTTAGGACAAGTGACGGCATAGTTGGCAGAAGATCTTATTCACAAACAAAAGGAAAGACTGGGAGATGACTGCATGCACCCAAGATAGTATCAGGGACAGAATGCTCCAGTCTTGGCTTGCTGTCAACCCAGTCATCATGAAACATGTCTGTGCTCCCCTTATGCATCCCTTCACATTCCAGTATCCTACTTCTATTAGGCTTCCCAGAGATTTATTGCTTGTAAATAGTGAGAGATTTACTGTTCCCAGGACATACAGGATAGAACTGTTGTCAAGCCCCGTATAATTAACCAATCTAAGAAGCAAGAACCCCATGGCTTTCAGGAAGGCATCATTAAGGCTAAGATGAGATAAAAACAGCCCTATTTTTCAAACGGCAAATTCTCAGCCAGACTTACAGCAAGTTAATTAAGGTGGAATGTCTTCAAAACATCCCCATAAGCTGTCATATTTGGTTTGTTATTTTCTCTTCTCCCCTAAACTTTCTTCCTCTTCACTTCCTTCCTACAGTAACTAACTGTGGGAACTATCACTAACTATTTAGTGGTATCAATCACAAGGAGTATATAATTTCAAAATGTCATGGGGGGCAAATAAATTCAATAAATAAATTACATTAAAAAATAAACTGGCTTTACGGAAATATCAACTAAAAACATTGGAACCAACACTCCATAATCTCCAAACTGCCAGGAATTAAAAATAGTTCTTTCCAGAGGAAAATCTTTAAACCCAGCCAACCCTACATTTCAGTCTATTTTTTTCTTCCTGAGCATCATAAGAGCATCATAAGAAATGAGATTTCAGATATGATCCGATGTTAGTGCAAACTGCTCCACTTCTATTACTTCTTCCCCATTTTTATCACAGGAAACAATTTAGCACTTCAAGAGATAGTTATGTTCCTTCTAAATTTCCAGAAGCTTGTAAAATCAGTGGGATTTCACAGACAGTTTTAAAAGGCACCAACTGGTTTTAATGCTGTAGCCAAAAAGCAGCTGGAAATTCAAAAAGCAGCATGATTAATGCCCCGTTAATGGGCAGTGAATCATGGAACTATCACTGCTCTCTCCAGTTGTCCTGGCCAGAAAGCAGCATTTCAGAATATAGCAAGACTGTTCTTGCAATGAAACTGGCAAGCCACTGGGAATACTATTAGAACCAATCATGCTCTTTTGGTAATTCTATCCTTGCAGGTTCATGCTTTCCTTTGACATCAGCTGGAACAAACTCGCTTTTTCATGGTGCACTGGAGATGCAAAGTTGATTAATCTCTAGGTAGAAAATTTGGCATTTGTAGGCACCTTCCTTAGTGCCCATTGGATTCCTTGGTCTCCTGAAGTTATAGCAAAGTGCTAGCCTCTTGCAAAATATTTATGCCAGAAGCACTTTTTTAAAAAAGAGGTGGGTGGGTGGCTATAGTTCAGTGCTTTGTTTGGAAGTGTGTCTATTTGCATGAGCAAAAGTGGAAAGCTGGGATGTTAGAAAACATTGTGAAGGGACTAGATAGGGAGAACACCACCAGCTGTTTTCTAATAAACTGGCATCCTGTATTGAACATGCCTCCTGGGATGCCAATTTAGTGCACAGGAAAGTTTCATTGTAGATGTTTTGTGAGACCATCAGTGGTGGTTTCAAATTTTTTTACTACCGATTCTGTGGGTGTGGCTTGATGGGCATGGCATGGTGGGCATGTAAAATCTCCATTCCCATCCCACTCCAGGGGAAGGATACTGTAAAATCTCCATTCCCTCCCACTCCAGGGGAAGGTTACTGCAAAATCCCCATTTCCTCCTGAACAGCTGGGACTCGGGAGGCAGAGAATAGATGGGGGCGGGGCCAGTCAGAGGTGGTATTTACCGGTTCTCTGAACTACTCAAAATTTACGCTACCGGTTCTCCAGAACCGGTCAGAACCTGCTGAAACCCACCTCTGAACAACATGCTCTTAACATTCCAAAGATTGAAAATTTGAAAAGATTTTCCATCTCTTAGCTAGCACTACAGTTCTGTATGCACCTCAGTTATCTTTCTGATATCAGAATTTGCATGCACTTCTTCCAAGGAAATGTGGATTTTTCAATACTGCATAAATGAATTAGACAACCTAAACAAGAGGTTAATATGTTTCTTTTAGGGCCTCTTGTTCTGCTTCTGCTAAAAGCCATGCTCATGATTCCTGGAAATTACAATATGCTCGTACCTGACTATTTGAGTTTCTTTATGTTATGGCTTTGTCTGCACAATGCTTACAAAATTAATCCAAACAATTAATTAATCTTGCCATTCCCTCCAAGCTTATGGGAAAGGAAATTGAAAATGGAAATGACAAATCTGGAGGGAAACTCCTCTGCAGAGGTGGGGTGGTTCATCCATATATCCAAATTATGCCCTGCTTTCTCACCCAGATTATGGTTGATTTTTAGTCCCAGCAAAACATTGGAGTCAAGCCAATCTTCTGCTGCAGATTTCATGTTGGGACCAAAGAATTGAAAGAGGTCCCAGACAACTGTTCCAACCTGTCCTTCTGAGAAGGACAACTGAGCCATCAGCCATCAGATGATCCACAAAAGATAGCTCTCTAGGGGACCCTGCAATATCTTGATGGCTTGCATTTCATTCTAAAACACCATCTTCTCATCCAGCCCACAAAGGTTGATTTATCAGCTCAATGGCACAAGCTCATGCAAACTGTAACATGCAGAAGTATATGGAGCCATTCATACATATTTCAAGATATACATCACCAAGAAAGGCTGCAAACATCCTGCAGGCAACACTTTCTTGTTATTTAGACATATGTTCAAAGAGACTCCAATAAAATACTAGCTGGTTTCTTGCAGTTATGCACAGGTGCATGGCATAATCATTCAGCCAAAGCAAGCCAGAGAGAGGAGTTAGGAAGAAAATACATCCATAGTTCATTGCATAGTTATTACTAATCTTCTTTGAGGAGTTCTGCATAAGGGCTTTTCATAAAGCATTTCTATCTAAGATTCCAACACCTATTAGACTGATACATTTCAAAACAGTTTGTTCAACTTAATAGGTACACCAAAGATTTTTTAAAAATCATTAAAATATTTTAAGAAGCAAACATCAAATACTACCGTAATACTATAATAATCATCTTCTGCACTGAAATCAAGATAAAAGGCCATTTTCAGTGTTATGTCTGCTGAGGCTTTATATCTATGAATTGGGAACCTGAGTCTCTTTCTTCAAAAGGACTCAATTTTTCCAAGTTGAAATCCATTTATTTTAACTGATTCCAAGCCTAATAGCACCGCTTGTCTCATAATAGCAAAATGCTGAGGCTATAGTATATAGTGGGTTTTTGACTAGTCACACCTGGTTGGCACAAGAGACCAGCAATTGCATACAGGTAAGTGAAGTTGCAGGCAAAGGGCTTAGAATTAGATGATTCCTCCGATTCCTCTAACTCCGTGATGGCAAATCTATGGTATGTGTGCCAGAGGTGGCACGCAGCGCTCTCTCTGATGGCACACAAGCCGTCACCCCAGTTCAGCTCTGCTGCACATGCGCACACGCCTCCCTCCGGCCAGCTGGTCTTTGGGTCTCTGCCATGCATGTGCAGGGGGCGGGGGCGTGCACATGCACAGGGGGGCGGGGCGCATGCTGGGGGCCATGTGCATGCATGGTGGGTGGGGC